AGTCGTTTTATTTATTTATTTATTTATTCCAACGGGAAACCCATTACATTGAAACATTACCAAGAAATAACAATAAAAATCAAAGCAAGATGTGATACAAGTCTACAAATAATTACAACAACAGCAACAACGTAATTAATACATTAGTCTAAATTCAACAGCAAAAAATGTGTACTATGAACAAGTAACAATATAACATTACCAAATACCATTTATCAAACCATTAACAACAAATAAATATTTTCAGAATTACAACAACAATAAATATATATATATATATATTTTTTTTTCTTTGATCATGCAACAATAACAACAAATAAATATTTCAAAAAGGCAACAATATAATAATCTGACTTTTGTTAAACTAATGAATACTGAATTGCTAACAAAAAATATAATCTGACTTATTCAATACTAACAAAAGATTGTGTCTACATGCATTACAAACTACTGTGTCATTGTCGCAGGCTGTAGAGCTCGTCAGTTGCGACTCTTTAGCAGGCTCCTCTTGACTGATGTGGAACTGTCAGCGAAAAAGTCGATGTGGTGTGAGGCTTTGTTCCCAAGTCTCTGGATTCTATTGAGGGTGCTGTTTGCATCATAGTTGGTGCTCACATGCCGTCTTCCAAAAAGGTCGGTAGATCTGGTTCCAGTACGACAAAGGAAACCAATCTGGCCTAGCAGCTCCGGACAGTCCACGAAACCATTCACCAGCTTGTGCAGAAACACTACTCCAAAAACATCTCTTCTGACTTCCAAGCTTTGAAGGATGAACAATGGCTCGAGATCTCTAATAGGAACTTCTCTGAAGGCAAACCCCATCCGACAGCCAAGGAGACGTAAGAACGTGTCTTGGATGGTCTGAAGCTCCCGAACCAGGGTGATCTGTTTTCTTTATGATAGTATGTTGGAAGTGAGAATTTAAAGTAATAAAATTGTTCTTTCTGTACGTGGTAGATACAAACTTATATGTGCACTTGTTTTGTGCGTCAGGGTAAAATTTGCACCTATGAATTAGATGCTTGACTTACATGTTTACGTACATAATAAGTAGTTCGCTCTAAATTGTACACATAAATATTAACCTGGCATTTCCAGAATTGTGTAAATAATCACGTAGGATAAATACAAATATATAAGTGAAAATAAAACGTTAAAACACACAGATTCGAAACCAATACAATTAACGCAGTTTAATTTTTCTATCATTTTTTCTTAAATATGTTAGATAATTGAGGAATTTAAAATTAATAACGTTTCAAGATACGGACAATACTATTTTTCATTGCTGCAGGAGTGCTGTGTATGCCTGAGCATAGACGATTTTCCGATTTCCAGCTACATTCTAGACATTGGGTGTATTATTTTATTTTACACCTAATAAAATTGTATTTTACAATATACAATTTTATTTACGTAAATCCTAACTTTTACTCATATCTGTTAATGGAAAAATTCACACACAATGTACGTGCTGGATTTTTGTTCAAACATTGGTAATATTTACAAGAAGTCTGCTGCAAGGAATATGTTTGTTCATGTAAACTATCGTCCTCTGAGCGAAACCGTTTATGATTTGGTAACACCTGCGTGTATCGCCGCCATCTTGGATTGCACACTTGTCTAAATACTCAATGTGTCACCCGATATCTGGGACACGTGGTCCAACCGTTTCATCCTTCCGTCGATTACAACATACGCATCAAACTATACGTTTGGAGAAATTAACTTGAAATATGATGATAAACTGTTGGAATTATAAAATTTATATTTTACTATCTGCTGTACCCATGCTTCGCAACTGGAAGATTACCACCTAACCCAAAAACTTGTTAAGTAGTTTGAATTTATAAACAAAAATCCACCAAATTTATACAAAAACGTATGGCCTACATTGTAATTGTCCTACTTTTTTATGAAAATATATCAATAACATTATTTTCATAACTTAAATCGGGTCCAGAGCCTGGGTTGATACAGCAACGGTTATAGACTTTGCGTGGACATTTCAGAAATGCCAAATGTCTATTTCACAATTTCAGCCAGCTGATCCAAATAAATGAATATAATAGGAGAGCTCACCTCGTGGTCGAAAACTCAACCAAAAGTATGTATTGTGCAAGCTTCTTTATTTTCACCACACGCTTTAAATGGGACACGTAAAAAAATGTGATTGGAATTTCTTCCATTTGTTTTGATTTTTTGTTTACATTTTTTTTTGTTATTTCATCACCAACATGGCAACCCATAAGGTTCGTGTTAATTTTTTTAAGTTTTAAATTAGTTTTTTTGTGCTTATTTTTGAGCCTATTTTAATTTATAAAGAGATTCTGCACATCTACAGGCAAATATATTTCTAACAGTATGCGTAGATTTTTCCTACAATGCACAGGAGCTGAGAAAAAAGGTTTTCAATAAACATGCTTGTCTATTTATATATAGAGTTAGCCCCATGTTAAATCTCCATTAGGAAAGTTAAATCTCCATTTTTGGCCCCATTAACATAAATATTCTTAAAATACAAATAAAGCCTGCACACATAGAACCGATAACCTTTCTTTTGGTACAACGAGGTACAACTCGCGTATAAATCGGACCAAACTAGCTGTGTTTAGCTAGCTGTCATAAGTTTTGCAAAAGGTTTTTAATATATAAGATATAACACAACTATGTGGTAGGTTTATTTATTCTAAAACTTGTTCGAAGATTGTGTATTCTAAATTCATGTAATTGATTATAGAATTAAAACAGATCCTGTAACCGTTCCTGTATCTTAAAAATGCAAATAATTCAGTATATCAAAGTGTTGTTGTACAATTATTACGGTGAAAATTTAAAAAATTTTAATTTTAAAATTCCTATGTTATTCTTATAAAGAATATTGAAAAATGTTGTAGTGTGCTTGTTTATGGATATATTCCGACCAAACTTGGCAAATGTATTTATTTTATACTAAGCTTTTAATATTTTACCAAACAACACACTCGTTAATGTTATTTGAATAGATTTAATTGAAAATCAATTCAGGCAAATGGAAATTCGCTTGGACGGCAGGTTTGCTGTGGCGGGGGTGTTAAGTTTTTTGTGTGATAGCAGTAAATGTTAGTTCCTATACCTGAAGTTTTGATGGCAAACAGCCTAGGTTAGCTACAATACAAGGATATTAAGCTAATATCTCCACATTATTGACGAGGCTATTGAGGTAGGACAGTACCTTGACCCTGGCGTGATACAGAAGGTTACCACATGTCAAGTTTGTTGCAAGGTTGACACAATGTTGACACAAGATTGTCGCAAGGTTGACGGATCATTGTTGACGTTGACCGTTACGGTTGTCCGTCAAAGAGACTCACCAATCTCGCTAAAGGATACGGAACAGAAAACTCGCTTAAAAACTGATTATTGATGTTCCAATCACGGTGCGTTTCAAGATTAGATTTTTAGTTTTCACCAGTGTTTCAGTTTTGTTTCGATTCAAAACTAGGCCTACTTCCAGCCACATCTATTTAGTATAACAAATCGTCTAGCACTGCTGTATGTAATATGAGGTACGGTAATCTTAAGATAACCGGGGTAAATTACCACGTACAGTGGTACGGCAATCCAGAGGAGGATTTACCATAGTGGTTATTTGGTGCATGCCAAAGGCAAAGATAACTGCCAAACGGCTAATTTCGAAGCAGAGAGGATGATTATTAAATAATCCCAAGATTGAACCATGGTTTTGTAAAGAAATTCGGTTATAAAATTGAAATATACATATTCCAAATAATTACCACAGTGGTTATTACCATAACGATTCTTTGGGTAATATAGTTTAGCAAAAGTATTAGCGAGATCAAATTGAATTGATACCTTTGATTATTGATATGACCATACAATAGTCTATGGTGATACTCTATAGGAAATTAATTCTTCGAATTGAGTTTGTTAAAGTTATCCCCTTAATATGGGTAAAATAGTGTGGAGAGACGTTATGAACTGAGGGGTGGCATAATATTTTAAATGAAAGGTAAGACACTTTTTGCTTATCTTGACAAAAACTACGTCAGTAATGACTAGTTTTTCACAGAGCTTTGCAAATACTAATAAGTAAGTTTTATTGTTACAGTATATCCCTACGCCCTTGTTCTATATTTTGGAGTCGTGACAGCGCAACGTATTTTTGAAGGGATTTAAACCTGTCAGAACTGTCACGGTGGAATAAATATTCAAAGAGCGCGTTGAAGAAATAGGACAAAGATTAGTGTCATTGTAGGCTACCTGTGGATATCATTAGCTGGTTTATACTTATTATGAACTGCATGTAATATGTTACCATGTGATGTTAAAATATTAAATTCCACCACATTTTAATCTAGTTGTATACTATGTGCGATTGAGAATAAAAATGATTTGTTTTGTAAAAATCTCAACATTTGAAATTTGTTTTCAAGACAGAAACTCCTCCTTGAAGATTGCGGACTTAAAGTATACATCATGTGCTTGTTTAAATGTATTATAAAAGTAATCGTGTTTCACATTGACAAACGTTGGATTGTCTACTACTTATCAGACAATAACTTTAAATCAGAAGATGATATTTAATTTAACCTTTATTTCATAGTTTAAATCGGTTCCTATTGAAACTACCAAACAATACATGTTTAAGCATTCATGGTCATACCATACATAAATATTTACCATTTTTATATCAAACAGTTTTCTTGTAATGTTTATAAAAAACAGGCCTTCATTTAGATGTGTACATGTAATGATTTAAGGCATGTAATGACAATAGACTGTTTTCCAAATTTGTGTGATCAAGTGATAGGTTATGTTTTTCCTAACGAGCAAAACATATTTTAACAAATGAATTAAAACTCATATACAAATATTTTGTGCAGTGGCAAAAACGATTTTACTCAAGCTTATTGGAGCTCTTAGATTAAACATCTTGGTACATGCTTGCTCATAAGTTTGAACCCCTAAGAGCTTCAGTAGACAAGCATATACATTTGTCACCAGACAATCCTTTGCAGACGAAGACCGTGCTCCGGATGACTGTGGATGCACATCAGGAACTCCTTCGGTCTCAACTCCCCTGTGAACACCCTGTGTACAGCTGTGAACAGAGGGAAGAACTCCTCAACTTCCCGATGCCTCAGGAAATGATAGACGTCCCTTGCCACCCGGGCGCCTCCTAGTCCCCGTCCGTCCAGGAGGTGGCGCTCCGCCTCCCCCAGGGTCATCCCTGTCCTGGCCATCCCCTCGGACACCCGACGTTCCTGACCGTAGTAGCACGAGACCAGGAGATCCGCTATACTGCTACTTTCAAACACAGAAGAGAGCTTTATGTGAGGATAAAACAAATCTAAAAACTTAACCATCTCTATCAACCCTATTCTGAATATAGCTGCTTTCCAGTTGTATTTCTGTCCAAGCCCGTCGACAAATCCGGCAGCACATCCTACCAGAGTCCTCAGAGTCGCAAGAACTTCCACAACGTCTACATCCTCCATCAACACCACACTGAGAGTCTCCGATTGTAACAAATCAGATAAGACCACACCCATTGCTTTAGATTTGCAGCCGATCGTCGTTTCACATAGCTTCCCCGAAACGACTTCGTTGGGAAAAGCAAACCCGGTTAAAACACAAGTTTGGATCTTCAAAAGATTGCTGATAACTTTAGAGGCCGGCTCTAATGTGTTGTTGTCTGTCAAGACGAAACCTTTAATCGCGACGACTCCAAAAGCAGACTTCTTGATCTTGCCCAGAAGCGCAGCACATACAGTCTTTATCTGATTGTGAGGGACGGCGAAAACTATAAAGTCAGCTTCCTTGGCTGCTGTTACAAGATCCGCTATGGCGACGACACTGCCTAAAGTCTTCCCCGGTAAGTATTTCACGTTCTCGTGAGTTTCGTTGATAATCTCTGTCAACTTTTTCCCATCGATTTCTTCCTCGTAGACGTACATGTTAACCTCGTTCTGGTATCCGCTCAATTTGATGCAGTTCGCAGCGATGATCGCTGCCAACGCTGTTCCCTGGTTTCCGGATCCTACAACGCAAACCTTCTTCTCCTTCCTATTATCGTCCATTCTACGTGGTTGTATGTTAATCGTTGCTGTTTTTCAATGTTGTCAAAGTGGTTTTGAATATCAAATCTGAGCTATACTGAATTTTTAAGCATCATCAAATTTGTTTGTAAACATTTCGTTTTATTATTGTTATTAACACATGGTCGAGTAAAAAAGTCTGTATACAAAAAATTAAAAAAATTAAAATATGATAAAATAATTTTAGTATTCATTGATAAAAGTCAGTCAAGAATAATATTCAAACAGAAACGGTATGGATCATAAACATAAATAAATGTGTTACTGGTTCGAAAGTAAACATTACAGTATTCAACATTACTTAAACTGGAACTGTCCAAAAAAATATGTTAATGTTATTAGTATATGATTTGGGCCAGTTACGTCATTTACGTGTTTTTGGCCTCTGGGGACACCAAAATGTAAAAGTAAATCAGTCCCGGGCCTAGGTCTTACCGTGCCACCTACGGTAATAGCTACTTCCCTATAGGGAAATTCGCTAAAACCATCTAGACGTTAAAATTTCTTCCAAGAGGGTATAATTACTTACAATAAATAGTCAAACTACCGTTACAGTCATAAAAACGTTGATTTTGTTGATATCTTATGAACATTGAGAAATATATTGAGATATTTTTATTTTCATGTTTAATACTTAGCACAACATATTCTAGCTTGCTATTTTACTAACGCTTTAAATAAATCATACCATTAAACAGAGAATTATTTATTTTGCAATGGAACAGAATACAAAAATCAGTAATTAACAATCGTATGTTATTAAACCAGAAATGGTTAATTGATTAATATATTGCAAAATTCAAATTCTAGCATTGACTGCTCTACTGTATACCCTAACCACCTAGAATAAGACACAATAATTACTTGCACAAACAAACTTCACAGCACAACTGGCGATAGTAAAAAACATACAATATTTTAAATAAAAAAAAAACAATATTAACTAAAGCTATTTAGTGAAATATAGTCGTTACTAACACTTGCAGCTGGCAAAATAACTCATCAACACTTTTCATACTGCCCACAAATTTTCCACCTCGTTTCGTGCCGTGGAGCACGCAGGTGTGCTGAGTTTGGTGCACGGCTGGGGCCAGGTACTGTATCGATCACATGTTCACATGACAGTCCACTACAACAGCTGTTCCATTGTTGTGGTCCTTTACCACCACAACACGTAACACGACAGTTTCTGCTATCCATGGCTCACTTTCAGTTCGTCAACGACATCAACCACAAGTACTTCAAGGAAGAGGTCGAACTAGAGGACAAACTAAAGGCAGTGTGAGTTGAATATCATTTGAACTTACATTTTACTTGGACTTTAGAGTGGGGTATATGAATTCAGGAAACTTTAGGTACTATTCCAAATCAGCTTGTGTGTAACTTGTATCAAGTTTGTTGGAATTGTTTGGTAACTTGTAACTAGTTTCATCTAATACAGTTTTAGGGATTACACTATATCATGTTACGTAGTTTTAAATGTTAAAATAATCTGAAATCAACTTTGGTTGTTGTTTGATTGACTCTGTTTACATCGCGTAAAGTTTGCGCCGTGTTATTTAATTTCTATTTCAGCTGATTATTAAATTTAGCAAATCATTACATTAGTTTTGTAAACAGAGTTTTGTAATAACTAAAAAAAATACATATTTATTAAGGTTGGAGTTTTAAATTATACTATAGGGGAACCTGTGCGATTTTGCACGTAAATAAGATTGGACTTTCTTCTTGTATGAATGAATCCATTCAGCTAATCAAGTAATCAATACAAGGCAAGTAGTTACAAATGTATATGATTAAACTGAATTTCACTGCCATTTGAAAGCTACGTTGGTTACGATTACATTTACATTGTTAGTCATTAAATTTTATAAAAATCCTTGCGTCATCAAAGTGTTTAGAAGCTTTGTCCCATCCAAGCTTTGTATGTTCTAGCGTTATTTCGCACATGTTATCCGTTTATTTTTTAACTACTGCACATGGCACCAAGGAAGGAAACAGGCATATTGTTAGTCTTAGAAATACGGTTTCAGCCGGTGACAAACTAAATTTAGGAGTTAAAATGGCTGACTTTGACTCAGCCCAAATCAACATTTGTACTCAATACTATCTATTTATACAGTCAAGTAACTTTCATTCTGGTTTCATTGGCTATGGATTGTCTCCTCTTGCGTTAGCATTACTAAATTGTCTAATTTAAGACTTATCCAGGGATTAAAGTTTTACTTTAATGTATTGTTGTGGTCCGATATACTTGACACTGATCACTATTAACACACACATTTTCAATTAATCGATTTACTTGTATTCAAACATAGTTTTTACAAAAAGACATCGGTGTCTGTTAGTTGGTCACCTACACTACAATACTTCCAAAACAGAATTCCTATATTGTTGTTGGTGTAACATTACAGTGTTGCCATCTGGGCAAACTGTAATGAAAAATAATAAAATTATATATACAGTACAACATTAACACTTCTCTCTTACGTCTTTTGAACATTTGTTGGTTAGGCTGCATTTTATAAACTTCTGTGACTGTGTTGTGCCATGTTGTGGACCGATACATTTGACGCTGATCACTTAAGTGATATAATAACACACACATTTCCAATACACTGATCTACAGTACTTATATTTAAACATTGTGTTTTCAAAACACATCGTGGCTGAACCTCACATGTAAGGTTGAACAATGTTACGTGTTGAGGGCAAATAATGTAAACTAAGAAAATAACAGCTATTTCGTAATAGGATATTCTATTTTGCGATATGTTTGAATAGGTTTAAGTAGAGTTGGATATAAATTAGCTATTTCTATATAGGGTGTCCCTTAAGGAATTAAGGATGCTTATTGGATAAGAACAAAACAAAAATGAAGAATCGTATTTTTTCAAAAAAGCCTCGTTAGCAAGATGGTGGATATTTTGTGTTTTTAATTTATTTATCAAAAACTATTTAATATATCTTTATGAAACTTCGTATACAATCGTGGAATTTAATTCGTATACAAGCTGAGCAATTCATAATGTACTTACGAAAAAATAAACAATGCAATTTTTGCTTCAAAATGGCGGTAATTTTAAATATTATAACTTAAATGACGGCTGATTTTATGAAAAAATGCCAAGAAAACTAATAATTTATTTGAGATCTGAAATTACCTATCAAACTAGCCTATACCAAGTTAAAATATATCAAATAATAAATAGCCGAGGTATTACGATTTTTGTTATTGTACGTGCCAGGCAAAAAAAAGTCTTTTGGTCAGGGCTAGCCTCATATTGTGATTTCTCAGCTATATTATTATTTAATCATTTTGAACTTGGTATAGTTTAATAGGGAATTTTATATGCTAAATAAAAGTGTTCTTGGCATTTTTCATTAAATCATTAATTTTTTGGCTAGGCTATTTAATTTATAATCCTTATATATAATACGTGAAGGCGATTTCTACAAAACACTACTCCTCCGTTAATAATGGACGGATTTTTACAAACGACGTGGCAAAATAAAGAATTTTTTGTGTAGACGCCCCCTTTCACCAATTCCTGTAATAAAAATCATCGGGCTTTGCCCCACAGGCCACCAAAGTTGGAGTTTCTCCCATAAGATTAACATGGGGGAATTTAAATATCTAATTGGAAACTTTGTCCCCACTAATTTGAGAGAACGGCTGGGCTTAGAAACTTGGTAGAGGTGTCCAAAGAAAGGTCTTGGTCTGTAGATGAGTTATCCATAGGACTCTGCCCCAGAAGCCTTTAAAGATCCCTCCACAGAGTTGTTTACATTTTGGCCATGTGAATAATACTTTTTAATAAAACAGCTGTTCATTTTTAAATTGTATTTCAAACAACGGACATTTATTGAGAGTTACTGAATTCTACCAAATAAGTATTTGCAATGTTATCTTCTGATTATAAAATTGATTTTAGCGAATTTCCCTATAGGGAAGTAGCTATTACCGTAGGTGGCACGGTAAGACCTAGACCCGGAACCGATTTACTTTTTCATTTTGATGTCCCCAGAGGCCAAAAACACCATTCGTTCAAATTTTTATATATGTATATAGATGTTTATATATAGATTTAGATTTATATATATATATATATATATATATATATATACGTCCGTGAACGTGATAACTTGAGTAATTTTTGTCCGATTTTGATGAAAGCGATTTTGGTCCGATTTTGGTTTAAAGGTGTAAAGCAGGATAAACTTGAATGAGTTCGCGAACCAGCATTATCGGACCATGGGAACGGGGCTTTACGGGGGGTTTTATGGGGTAAAAATTGGTTTTTCTCACTTTTGACCCTCAAAACACAAAATTTCCCAATTTCTCTTTAGATCTTTTTAAAGAGCTTAAAAAAACTAATCATTTAGTATATAAAAGTATTTTTGTTCGGTTATTAGTAACGGAGAAAATTAAAAAAATTGTAAATTTAAAATTCCCATGTTATTCTTATGGAAAATATTGTCAAATGTTGTAGTTTGCTTGTTTATGGATATATTTTGATAAAACTTGGCAAATTTATTTATTTTGTACTAAGCTATCAATATTTTACTAAAAACACACTTTATTAGCTTCCTTGTAGCAGCAAAGGTACTCATTACACCTAATGTTATTAAAATATATTTAATTGAAAATCAATTCAGACAAATGGAAATTCGCTTAGTCGGCAGGTTTGCTGCGGCGGGGGTATTATTATTTAACATGTCATGTTTTGCAATATAACGCTCCATTACGAAATCAGTGGAAAATCCTTTTATCACAGCAATTCTTAAATTATTAAATTATTCTTAGGCCTATATCTATTGTACGGGTTGGTGTCTGCCTTTTTCACCACTTTTGCCTACATTATATCATATTATTCTACACATATCAAATATTTATGTAGAAATATCTGCTCTTTTCGTGTCTAATAAAATCCAAACATAGAAACCTTGCCTAAAATGGTACCATTCTTGACAAATGATTTGCACCTGCCTATATTACGGACTTTGGCGCACTTGGTTGGTAACATTATTGAAAATAACACGACATTTTGGCTGTAAAATATGGTACAAAGAGAAAATACTATTTAAGCAGCTACTGTCATGACAGAAAGGTCATATTCCTTTTAAACTAGATCACATAATCCTTTATAAGATACGTTGATTAACAATATGTAAACCTCAATATATACAATATATATTTCTGTCCAGCCTTGTTTTGGTAAAATCTTTGAGATTATTTTTCTTAAAAGATTGCTAAGTTTTATTGAAACAAATAACATCTTGTCAAATAACCAATTTGGGTTCAGAAAAAACATGTCTACCTGTGATGCCATTTTTGCCCTTTTAAAGGAAGTATATAACCACCTTGACATATCTGACAGCTTACTATGTCTCTTTTACGACATGACAAAGGCTTTTGATCTTCTTGACCACAGGATCCTTCTGGATAAGCTGCGAATGCTTGGCATTTCTGGAAACCCACTGAGATGGATTTCATCGTATCTTAAAGATCGGCACATGATTGTATCCTTGAAGCACAGAGGCCCTGACAACATCCTTCGGACATATAAATCGTCTCCATCACCAGCCCTGAACATCGGTGTCCCCCAGGGATCAAACCTTGAGCCCATCCTATTCCTGTTATACGTGAATGACTTGCCTGGCTCCATATCATCTGGAAATTTATGGCTTTTTGCCGATGACGCCTGTCACCTAGTCCCAAGCCCAAATCGAAACATCACGATTGAAAACGCCCAAACTGGCTTGCTTGAAATGTCAACTTGGTGTAGCAAAAATCATCTGGTCCTAAATTCTAGTAAAACCAAATTAATGGAATTTTATAACAGGAAGAAGCCTGAACCACCTCCGATATTGACCTTGGACGGGGTGCTACTTGAGACCTGTAGTGAAACCAAATACTTGGGCCTACACATTACGGAGAACCTTAATTGGGGAACACATGTCGATGCAATAGCGCCCAGACTGTCATCTGTCACCTACCTGCTGTTTAGACTTCAAAAACTGGTTGACATCGAGATTCTCCTTAAGGTTTATTATGGCTGTTTTCATAGCATAATCTCATATGGTTTGGTATTTTGGGGTGGTTGTAGTGAGGCAAAACGCATCTTCATCCTCCAAAAGCGTGCAATTAGAAGAATATGCGGAGTCCATAGACGGACACACTGTAAACCTTTGTTCCAAGAACTGAACATCCTCACACTTCCGTCCCTCTTTATATTGGAATCCGCATTGCTTGTTAAGAAGAACCCCAACATTTTTGTAACAAACGGCATGGTCCACAATTACAATACAAGAAGAGCAACAAATCCACATGTACCTCAAGTAAATTCCACCCTTGCAAGCAAGAGCCCTTACTTCAATAGTATAAAAATTTACAATAAATTGCCTCAGTACATCACACAGGAGCCCTCTATCAACAAATTCAAGAACCTGCTAAAAACATTCTTAAGTCAAGTGGCCTACTACAGTGTTGATGAAATATATATCTAGGCCATGTACAATCTTGAAGAGGAAATGAATCCATCCATATGAATTAATATGAAGAAATGTATAAAAACCTGACGACCACGTCGCTGATGCGATACCAGTGGGAATTCTCCAAGTATCCAAGTATACGTAACAGCCAATTTACAGTATTTTTGCTTTTTGGAAATGTCCCATTGCTCTGTCATTTGTATTATTTGTTGCCAATGAAGTCGCAAGACCATATGAACTAGGAGGCCCCAACAGTTCAAGAATAAAAGCCAACTTCACTTCAAGTATTCCACTACACCTAACATTTCGTAGAAAGATTATATTGACAACTTTATGTTATTGATAAGGCTGAGACAACTAACTGACATCCCCCATGTCTAGGAATTCCAGCTTTAACAGTAACCCCACAACCAATTTCTCAAAACTGTGCTAGAGGGTTATTCATTGGCACAGAAGTACGATATGAACTGACGCGACGTGACGAAGGAAAAATCAAACTTACACTTTAACGGATATACCTCCTTTTGAAATTAGAATATGTCTTCCCAAATAATATTTTCTTTTCAAATAAAATCGTATTACACTGATGAAATCACGGAAGTGTTTAACTACAAAAGATCCACCAATACGATTTCAATACTATTTAAAGGTTCTTCCAAAGGAAGAGATGCCATATAACATACTAATAATAACTCCGATGACGTACGGCATGGGGAATATTTTATTCATTGAATGATCAACCAAATTTTGGCAACTAACTCAATTAATTAATATCATTACTGTTTTTACACTTATTACTCTTTAAACAATGCTAAATGCTCATAATATGTATATTTCACCCAATTTATCGCAGTTAGATGAATTAACGTAAGCCTTGAAAGTAACCGTCGATTTCGACGGGTTTCACCTAGTATTTTTAAATGGCCGCAATTTGAAGCAAAAATATTTTGTAATGTATTTTTTGAAAAATCATCATTTGATAAATTGTATAACAAATTTCATAAATTTATAGGCCTATTAAATAGTCTTTAAGACAAAAAAATGGCAGATATTTTGCTGACAAAGCATTTCTGAAAAACAAATTTTATTCGTGATTTTCACTTTATTTTGACCCAATAAACCTATTCCTTAATTATTTGTACTTATTTACACCCAGTATACTGTTCTGCTAAGACAATGATTACATTCTACTACAACTGATAAACTCTATAAAATCAACCTTAAATATCCCCTCAACAAAATCAAAAGGAAAAAAGAAAATATTAAACGTATAATAACTTACATGCCGTATCCTTTACAATACTTCTACGATTGCTAGAAGTACTGTAAAAATATTGTATCGTTGTCTAACTAATGTTTTAGAGATTTTATCGGATGTGATATAGGCTACGGACGACGTTTTATCTACTCTTATTTGTAAATGGTGAGTAAAAACGAAATAAGTAGTCGTTTTCCCCTCAAACTTATTTAACTTACAAGCACCAAGCACACTCATACGAGTTTTATTATTACTTTGGTTTAAAAATGGAATAATGAGTTAAAACAATAGGAAAATAAAGCTTTTATTTCTCTGACCACATTACGTGAGACGGCAAGCAAAGGATGATCTATCAATCGGTTCGACAGAACATGTCCCTGGCGTTACACAATAAATTATCTATAGATTAAAAAAATGGTGATGAAGATACAATTTCACTGCTAGTTTTAGTTACTAGCGGACACTAACAGTAGTGTGACACATTTTCCACTTCTCCCTGCCTATACCCTTGTCCCATCAAATGTTTTGCATGATAAGTAGGCTTGCACGCAGGCCTGCTCGACTTTCTGGAAGTAATTTAGATACATGGTAAATATAGCATCAAATGTATATTTCTCTTTCTAAAAATGTTCTTTGTTTAGGCCAACCAACACATAGCGGTATGGTAGCCTATATCATATTGTTGATTATGATTGTTCACAGAAAAAAATATATATATATATTGTTTAATTTATAGTTTAAGTAATAAACTTTGAAGCTTAAAAATTACATAGACCTATAATTTTTAATTTTAGTTATTTGTAATACTTTTTTGTAGATATTCTAAAATAAGTTGACTTGTAGTGATGATGCACCATTTAATGATGGTTTTTACAATAATTATGAAAGTAATTACTGGCAAGATTTTCGTTTGATTAGTTTACAAGCTTGAATGGAAATGCTCACCTCTCGTATAATAATTTTGAATAAAATTGTCCATCACATACTTGTGTACAATGCTCACCAAATATATTTGGTAGGCCATACTAATTAGGTCTATACAACTGTGCAGTTCAATGATTGTGTGTCAAAAACTTCTCCCAATAATTACATTATATTAAGTAAAGTAATCTTAAATACTAATAACACAATTAATGTATTACAAACTATTGTTGTCAGTCAAGAATGGTTCTTAAATTAAACCCTGAATTTGGTCCCATACTTTCTAAAAAACTTACATTATTTTACATCAGTTAGTCATGTCATCTTCTGAAATGTATTTTTCATCACTCCATAAGTAGCTTTTCGACAACAGGTGAAGTAAGAGAAAATTATTGTTTCCCAATCCATAGCTTTAGATCAAGGGGAAACCAATAAGCTGATTTTCCTTGCTCTAAATTGACTTTCAATTGACTCAACCAATCCTGCATTTGACCACCAAGCAAACTGTTGGTTTATTTACCACTTATTTTAACAATTAAAGCAGCTGATTTTACTGTTCAACAATGTAAACGTAAACAGGAATAGACATATTAGCTAGGCCTAGTGTCACTGTGTTTTAGCATAGATAAAACATACTCCCTTAGCACAGTTGGTTTTAGTATTATCATAGATAAAACATACTCCCTTAGGTATTAGTTTTAGCTTTTTTTTTAGTTTTTAGTTTTTTTAGTTTTTTTTTTTTAGTTTAGCACAGTGCGTGTTTACTGTCCAATAAACATTACCCTGTACTTATAATTTTTACTTTACTTTTTTACTTTAGGTTTTGTATAACATATTTGCTTTATTTTAACATAAAAAATAAATTAAGACAGATAATAGTTTTAATTTTATTGTGGTCTGTTATTCCGTAAAACTATGTGAGAATTTTTTACTTTTTTATGTGAGACTTTCGATACTATAGTAATGAAATATACTGTTTTCTAAAAACTTTCCAACAAAATGCTTACTTTTGAGGTCCATGTAATAAACAAATTTACTTCACAAAATTGTGTGTGCTGCTCTAAACCCAGTGTAAAGAAATTTATCCTTACACGGTACATCTGAATACAGTACTGTATTTGTATGTGTTACCTACGATAAAAAGGTTAAATTAGGAAAGTTAAATGTTTGATACATTTTTCAACTGTGGTAGGCATGACCTACAGTACATAAATTGTAATATTTAGGCCTACTGTATTTTACATATTTTTGTAGTTTGATTGTACTTGTTTGATTGTTTGTAAGTTATCATTGTTTTATTTGTTTTTAATGTCGACAAAAATAATTGAATTAAGGCCATTTAATGATTGTAGAGTTTGAAACTAAATATTAGCTTAGAGAAGTACGAATAGCTCAAGCACCAGTTCTTTTATTGAAAAAAATATGTGAGTTTTGCCAGAAAGCATTATTTTACTATTACTTGTAAAATAATAATTTATAAAAAAACTACAACAAATTATAAAATACTAGGCATCATTGTTTCAGAAGAGAAAAGTATGCATGTCCAGGAGAAAAAGAAGGTTTAAAAAAGTTGAATAACAGGATTGAAAGTTTGAGCAAGAAGGCTGCAAAGCGAAATAAAGTTTTACTTAAGGTAAGTTTGCAAAAACTAAAATTTGGTAACAATTTTATGTGCATATATTCTCATTACTAATAATAATAATACTCATTCATTGAAAATGTCTATAGAAAATCAATAAATTTATCATACATTATAAAGGATCCCTTTCTCTGATGCAAAGAGTAACCATCAAAGCCAATACCGGTAATATATTTGTAGTTTTGTTGGACTGATTCTCCCAAGAGTTTGGTCTTACAAAAAAACCAATAATGCCACAGGTGTAAAACTAAAACAGACGAAATAGTTATTTGTGTAACTAGTGGTGAAAGTGGCACTTTGCTGCACACGAGAGCAATGTTTACGCACGAGCCGCAGGCGAGTGCGGAATGATCTCGAGTGCAGCAAAGGCCTTTTTCACTCGTGTTACACATTATATTTTTCCTACAGTCACTATAAAACATAAATAATTAGTCTTTCAAACACTATACAACACGTTTTTAGGTTCAGCTAGCAACACAATTACACAAATGGTGCCCTGGAGAAAGTAGTACCCGTGGTCCGTATCACTCCGCTATTTTTCCTCGGCAAGAAATGTGCTCCGTCTTTTGAGAATATAGTTCCGTATGTTTTTGTAATTTGAAGTGGTTTCCGCGCCTAAAAAAAATGCTTTAAAGGTATTTTCTTGTTTATTAAGACCGTAGGAATGTTTTAAAAACGTTTAAAAGAAAAGTCCAGAAAGTTCAGAAATACCAAAACTATAAACACGAAATGACAGGTTAAATCGTAGTTATAATAGTCAATCAGCTGTTCATAGTATTATTATCTTTAAGTGTTGCCAACCTATTTCCAAGCGTACACGGATTACGTGCATAATAAAACCACGCTGTTTTGTGTTGTTTGGTTGGAATCCTGATGTGCGGCAAAGTATAAACCGTGCGGCAAAGTATAAACCGTACGGCAAAGTATAAATATGCAGCAATTAGCAGCTTTCTGTACTATAAACAGTACAGGGAAGCCAACTTTGTCGGGTGACTGTAGGAAAAGGTTATTTTTTGTTCATAAGTGACAGCAACAAATAAAAAAAAATAATTCAATAACCAAACCCATACAAATAGTGTATACATTTTGAGGTGTGTTGTATAGTTAATTATTTGTTAGTTAACTAACATTGTGTATATGATACAAATTATACACTGAGCTACTTGTTGCTAAATCAATAGCGATGATGTCAGTGACCTGAATAAACATCGTTGCAACAGGTGATCTTCCATCAACCACGTACTGGTAACAAAATTTAATACAACTTTAATATCAATCAACTCATACAGATTATGAACATATTCAGTAGTATCAAGTAGTATATTCAGTAGTCAGTGTATCAATTGTACAAAGTGATTATTTAGTCAAATGTATTTTCTAAATTGATAAAACTTTATTACTTTTAAATGTTTTTTTGTTTGTTTGTTTAATTTTGTTTTTCTTTTAATCATACACAAACGTGTCAAACTGGGTAGAGCTGAAATAATACTTTTCTGACTTCAGAACGTTTCATCCCAACTGTATTAATATACAACATATCTATTGTCAATTATTGTATCTATATTATTAAAAGAATTTGTTGGATTTTTGTGTGCAGCAAATCAACCCCTAAATATTTATTTTTGTAGACATATTGGGTATAAATTTAAAGCTCTTATCCTCTAGATGTGCTTTTTGCGGGTTTGGATGATATCCCGTGAAAGCCCTTCGTCCTATAGGCTTTTAAAATTTCATAGTTTGTGCTGAGTTATGTTGTCAATCATCTGACCTGTTTCAAGTTTACATTTTTAAAATCGTTTTTATCCTCATCATAGCTATGTATGAAATATATCACAGATTTTGAAGTCACGAAGTGACGCCGGTTGCTAGTTATCATTAAAAAATATATTTTGACTTTTTTATTTGTAGCCTATTGTTCTTTGTTGAACAGTAAAAACACGCCTCAGTTAATAAATTATACAATTATAAAACTGTCTAAAATTTTATGGAGCTAGAATTGAGTTAATTAAGACATAAACAATAATCCATTGAGAAAACATCATCCATTTTAATCTGTAACACCCAATAACATTTTCGTTATAAAAGGAACTATCTGTACATACTCGTATAAATTATTCAACTTGAAAATGGGAGTAATACAAGGAATCTAAAAAAAAGTTTTCTATAAAAGGATGTACTAATTCTCGACAGCTAAGAAGGAAATATTATACCTGATAGCACAAACAAGATGCATTTCTAAAGAGTCATTCCTAGTTACATGTCCACTATCTACTGAGTTATGGCTCAGATCTCAGCTGTTATGGTATTCTTGGACATGTTTCTTATCCACTAACAAACAGCCACCTTCACGCAATATGATTCAAACTGAGACAGATCATGCTATGTGCACACTAACATAAGAGACCTCGTGCTACAGATTATTTAAACAGCTTTAAAACTGTTAGGTATAAAATAAACAACGTCAGTAAATATGAATGTTTGATTCATTTATAAGTATCTGACAAAACAAGTTTCATGAAAATAAACTGTAACATGTTTCAAATTTGTGTAATGTGTTAAAATAACAAAGCTACATAGGAATGAAAAAAAAAAAATAGTTTCCAATCCATTTCAATTGGGATTTAAAAAATTTTATATTGGGATAAGATTATCCTATATGCTATTTATTGACCATGGAAGGCCCGACAGGACTATTTGTTGTCAAATAAAAAGATGATAGTTGGTCAGTATGTACCAAAAGGCGTTTCAGTATGAACAGCTAAATTTTAAAATACTTTTAATTACTTAGCTTAATCTGTATAGATCATTTTATTCAATGTGTGACTATAGATAAAATATTCTCCCTTACACACTTCCTTGTGTAGTCTATGGTGTGACCTAAAAAATTGCAAATACTGTGATGGATAGATAGCTAAAAATATTGTGAATGAATTTTAAATTTTGAAGCCACGGTAAAAAAACTTATTACCAATAAAACACTTAAAATAATACCAGGATCTGGAGATTGCCTCAGGGAAGTTGCGTGTTCAGTCTTGTTACTCCCCTACGGAGGCTCTCCTGGAGAAGAACAAGCAGCGTTACTTGCAAACCTTGGAACAGCTGGCTCAGTCTCAGGCATGTTCTTCCGACCGTAACTCTCAGGTAAGACTACCATCATTATTGTAACTCTCACTTGAGACTAGGGTCAATGTATAAAATAAAATAAAAGAATTCTTTGAATTGACTGTACGGTACGTTGTCATCGTACTGTACGTTTTGGGGTCAGGGATGGGGCGTTGTAATAAATACACTTGTTACATTTTAAAAGGGCTCAGAGGGCCGCAAAGGGTATACGGTGTTGACGGGACTAATACATGGTGTGGACTGACGTGAGGAGAGGGGATTTAGGCTTGTTCGGAAAGGTGGTGTGATGGTGGCGTGATATGACGTCACGGGAAATAGCCATGAGCTGTTTTATTAGAAATATCGCCTGATTTTGCATATTGCCAACCTAAACAGAAATTGTGGTTACATGATGGTATGAGTGTCAAACTATTGTAACATTATGGTACAAATTATCAGAATATGGTACAATCCTCCCCTCTTAAGTTTTGTGATGCTATCGGTTACTATAATCTTGAAAACTTACAATCACAAATAACAATACCAGAATATCTTATTAATTTATTATTATTTTTGTTTGCCAATCATTTAAATGAGAATGAGAATCAATCAATCATCAGTTCTAAATATATATATGTATATATGGTCAAAATATTGAGATAATATCACACATTAAAACACAAGTAAATGAAATACACACTTAAAATCATAAACATTAATAGCATTAAACATTGAACCTTGATGATATTAAATAATGATAACACACATAATGGTACACACAATTCAATTAATAAACATTTGAAAATCATTGATAAGGATATATAATAAATAAATCTATATACAAGTCATGTCCGGGTATTCAATTAAAGGTCTAATCTTATTACAGGTTTGCGCTCCCGTACAGGAAAGCGTCTAGTAGGCGTCTGTCTGTTTACATTTGGCGATTTGTTTACATTTGGAGGCGAAGCCAATGACCCCGCTCTTTCAATGTTTTGGTTTGCGCCAGGTGACCTAGTCAATATCGGAGTTTTCTGTCCGACTGTGCCCGGAAGAGCTCGCATACCTTCGCTACTGTTCCCTGTCAGTGTGTGGTCTGGCGAATTTTGCAATGTTGCCGGTTTTCTGTCTGGAAGCGACGTTGTCAGATCGTTTTTGGGAAATTCTACTACTAAATCTGACTGCTGCCCTAGCTTAGACTGTAAAGCTATCAACTGGTCTATGTGACGCTTCCACTGAACGCCTGATTCTAGTTCAACTAAATAAGTTACAGGACCCAGTTTTTCAATAACTGTAGCCTCTATCCATCTCTCCCTTCCCCTGTAATCTTTAGCTAATACAGGTTGATTAACAAATAATCTACGAGTTGTGACACCACCATAAGCTGAAACTTGTCTGTTTTGATTACTACTAATGACATCCTTCACATTAGGTCTAATTAAGTCTAACCTCGATTTCAGAGATCTGCCTAACATTAACTCTGCTGGTGTTTGATTGGTTGTGGAATGTACTGTATTTCTGTATGTAAACAAAAAATTTGATAATGCTAAGTTCAAATCAGAAGTGTCTTGTAGTGCTATTCTAAGTTTGTGTTTTACTGTTCTTACAGCATTCTCGGCTAAGCCATTAGTCTTTGGGTTGTATGGTGGAGAAAATGTGTGTTTGATTCCATTTTTTTGCAAAAATGTTTGGAATTCTGTACTTGTGAAAGGTGGTCCATTGTCACTGACAATGTGATCTACTAAGCCAAATCTAGCAAACAATTCTCTAAGATGAGATATTGTGTGTTTTGCTTGCGTTGATGGAACGGGTAACACTTCCGGCCACTTTGAATAAGCATCTTTAATTACTAAAAATAACTTTGATTGAAAAGGTCCGAAAAAATCAATATGAATCCGGGACCACGCCTTATCTGGTACATTCCAAGTGTGCAAAATCGACTTGGGCGGAGTTACACGTTCCTTCAAGCATGATGTACAATTACCAGCAATTTGTTCAATATCTAAATCGATATTTGGCCACCAAACATAGGATCTTGCCAACGCCTTCATTCTTACTATCCCTACATGGCCATTGTGTAATTCTTGTAAAATATGTGTTCTAAACTTGCTTGGGATGACGATCCTGTAACCCCACATTAGGAGTCCTTGTTCAAAAGTTAATTGTGACTGTCGCACAAAAAATGGATTTAACATAGGATCCCTCTCATTTACGTCATTTGGCCATCCAAATCTAACATAACCTATCACTCTACTTAGTATAGGATCTAGTGCTGACTCTCGTTTTACTTCTACATAGCCTAACTTAGAGGAAGTTCACTCTCAATTAAACACTGTAAATAGGTACCTACAATATTTACATTTAAGTCATTGTCATTGATTTCATCGTTCACAGGATTACTTACTGGTAAACGTGATAGACCATCAGCATTTCCGTTACATTCGGATTTAACATAAGAAATGTCGTACTGATAACCTGATAAAAACAATGCGTAGCGTTGGAGCCTACTAGCTGCAAATGCAGGTAAACCTTGTTTAGGTCCAAAAATAGCTACAAGCGGTTTGTGGTCTGTTTTTAACAAAAAATGGTTACCATACAAGTACTGGTTGAATTTTTTTACTCCATACACTATACTAAGAGCTTCTTTGTCAATCTGTGAATACTGCTTTTCAGTATCATTTAACACTCTACTTGTAAATGCAATAGGTCTTTCAGTACCATCTGTTTGAATTTGACTTAGAACTGCACCTATACCATAGGCACTAGCGTCACATGCTAACGTTAACTTTAACTTAGGGTCAAAATGAGCTAGTACTTGGGCTGATACTAGTTTTTGCTTAACTTCTTCAAAAGCTTTCTTACACGCTAAATTCCATACAAATTCAGTGTCTTTCCTCAATAACATATACATAGGGGTAAGTATGGTTGAGATTCTAGGTATGAAACGAGCGTAGTAGTTAACTAAGCCTAAAAATGCTTTTAATTGGGTGACATCTTTTGGTTCTGGGGCGTTTACAATGGCTTTGACCTTGTCTTGTGAAGTTTCCAACCCTCGTTTGCTTATGACAAACCCTAGATACTCTAAACTTTCACAGAAAAATTTACATTTACTTTTACTGACTGTGAAACCATTGTCTTGTAGTCGTTTACAAACTAACTTTAATTTACTAATATGTTCAGAGTCATTTTGTCCTGTTACAAGAATGTCATCTAGAAATACCGCTACACCTGGTATTCCTTGTAAGGTTTGCTCCATTGTGCGCTGAAAAATACCAGGAGCAGATGATATGCCATAACATAATCTATTGTACTCAAACAAGCCCTTATGGGTACTAATTGTACATAACTTTTTACTTTCATCATCTAGTCTTAGTTGTTGATATGCTTGTGACAAATCTATTTTAGAAAACCTGTCTCCATTTTGCAAACTGGAGAACAATTCTTCAATCTTAGGTAAAGGGTGTCTGTCTATCTCTAAGAAAGGATTTAGCGTTACTTTATAGTCTCCACACAATCTTAACTGACCATTTGTTTTCAAAACTGGTACTACAGGGGTAGCCCATTGGCTTGAATTTACTGGTGAAATAATACTCTCAGCTTCTAAACGTGCTAGTTCTGCTTCTACTTTATTTTTAAGTGTGAAAGGTAAGGTCCTTGGCTTATGATATTTAGGGGTTGCATTAGGTTTTAGTTTAAGTTTGACTGGTTCTCCCTTAAAACAACCTAGCTTGTCTGTGAAAACATCAGGGAATTCCTCATACAACTGTTTAACTAGCTGCTTGCCCTGCTGATGTACTGTGACATTTGTTTGTTTGTTTACATTGGTAACTGCGGTGTCGGCCACCTCAGTCGGCGCGCTAGTGTCGACCATTCTGCTAGCAGAACGGCTGACAGGTGTACCAACTGAGCTGTCATCCACAGCTGATTGAACATTGTTTACTTTACTACTATTTTTGATACTAACAACTAGCTGCAGTGCTTTCATCCAATCCCTACCTAACAATGGGTTTGCACCGTTAGGGACAACATACAGCTCTAATTGTTTACAAATACCTTCATGTTTTACATTTACACATAGTTTACCGATAGGTACGATCTTTTCGTGTGTGTACGAACTAAGAACTAAGCTTGTTGGTAGTAACTTTACATGACTTAACTTTAATTTGTAATCTTTTTCAGATATAACTGACACACAAGCTCCGGTATCAATTTCAAATAGGACCTTTTTGCTCTCTACCTCTAATTGCACTCTAATTGGTTCTACTTTTTTCCTAACTTCTACTCCCTGTACCTGAAATAAGTTAGATATGTCATATACCGTGTCTTCGTCTACACTTTGTTCAGGGACATTTTCTGTTACATAATGTTGCCTAGCATTAGCATTACTGTACTTTGAATTAAAATACGACTTATTTCCTCCCCTAGACTGTCCATTAGTCTTAGATACATCATTATACTGTTTACTAAAATGGGGCCTATTTGCACTTCTACTCTTAGATCTACAAGCTTTTTCAAGATGTCCTTTCTTCTTACAGAAATTGCAATTGTACTCACGATACCGACATTGAGAAGTATTGTGATTGTTCTTTCCACAGCAGTTGCACTCCCGGGGCTGTGACGTTGCCGAACCTCCGTTGGCTGCGAATTTTCCCCCGCTTCCGCTTGGTGCTGTCCTTGTCGTCTGGCTGAGGCGCTGAAGTCGTCCTCCTGGATTAAGCGTCATCTGGGCTGCTCCTTTCTCGGCGAACTCCATTGACGTTGCCAGCTGTACTGCCTTGTCGTAGGTCAGGTTATCCTCCCCCAGCAGTCGTCTCTGGATGTGGTGGTTCTTGAGGCCTGATACCAGTCTGTCGCGTAGATGGTCTGGAAGCTTGTCCCCAAACTCACAATGTTGCGATAGCTGCTTAAGTTGTACGATATAATCACTCACTGTTTCGTGTTCTAACTGATGTCTGCGGCTGAATTTAAAACGTTCTGTAATAAACGACGGTTTCGGGTGTAAATGTTTACCGACCGTGTCTACAATTTCCTCGTACGTCTTGGACGAAGGTTTATCAGGTGTGATTAAGTCCTTTAACAATTTATACGTCCTGACTCCCATTACCGTTAGTAGTGTGCTCGCTTTCTTTGTGGCATTAATCCCGTTGCAGTCTACAAAAAGTTCAAATCGCTCTGTATACGATTGCCAAGTTTCTTCGGCGCTGTCAAAAGGACCGATATTACCAATTGTTGCCATGTTTGTTGAAAAATACGTTTCCGCTAACTGTCCGAATTGTTCGAAATAACTTTCAGTCAACGGCATAAGTGCCTTTTTTACACTTATTTAACTGTCCGTAGTCTAATATTACGTCCATAAAACAAAGAATAACGTTATGTTAGGTGTACCTTTCTACACTCACGAAAACGTTTCCGCCAAGAATATGAGTCTGAGTCAATATTCGCGGTTGTTTGACGTTCGTCGACCGTTTCTTCACGTTCACTTGTCACTTTGTTCACTTGCACTGTCACTTTGTTCACTTGCACTGTAACTTTGTTCACTTGCACTGTCACTTTGTTCGCGAATTTAAGTTTTAAAACGCGATAATATTCCGTGTTCCTCGTCGCCAGTTGTACGGTACGTTGTCATCGTACTGTACGTTTTGGGGTCAGGGATGGGGCGTTGTAATAAATACACTTGTTACATTTTAAAAGGGCTCAGAGGGCCGCAAAGGGTATACGGTGTTGACGGGACTAATACATGGTGTGGACTGACGTGAGGAGAGGGGATTTAGGCTTGTTCGGAAAGGTGGTGTGATGGTGGCGTGATATGACGTCACGGGAAATAGCCATGAGCTGTTTTATTAGAAATATTGCCTGATTTTGCATATTGCCAACCTAAACAGAAATTGTGGTTACATGATGGTATGAGTGTCAAACTATTGTAACATTATGGTACAAATTATCAGAATATGGTACATTGACGGGTTAACTTTTTGTGTAAAGCGAGAACAGGAGAAAATTGTCTTACTGAGTATCTTAAAATATATTTCATTGTCTTTATTGGTTGCTTTTATTTTTGGTTTCAAACAAATAAAAAGTGACAGCTTGTCTTCCTAAATAAATATAATTTGTAAATATGCCTGCTGTAAACTTTATGCACAATGATAGAGTGTAATAGGTTAAACTGTCTGAACTAAATGAACTCCAATACAATTCAAATTTGTTCATGAATTTGTAAATACAACTACAAAAACCTTTTCCACAGCGAGGTTCAACAGATTAAACACAAGATGATCCGTATCCGAGAGACTGCTCCTCCGCTAGATTATTCGTTCAAGAATCTCGAGAAGATTGACGAGCTCCACTTGCAACGTCCGAGGAGAGGAGTGAAACGTTACCGACGTACGAGCAGCGGCCGCTACAGCTGTACGTCACTGCGGCTCAACAACAATCAGCTGACCACAATACACGGGATACACGCGGTGGCATATCAGGTGTGGTTTAAAAAATGTATTTGATATTTGACTTTTATTTTATGTAGTTACAAAATCGTGAAACAGTGAGAACAAAGGGAAAGATTTTTAAGCAAGAAAAAATGCAAGAGTTTAATACTGAATTTAAGTTACACGTCTTTCTTGGGTAATTTTCAAGATTTAATACCAAGCACTATTACGGGTAACTGTGTGTGTGTGCATGCTTTACTACACCTGACTCCATGGTCACTTTGCAGTATAGTTCTTATGGTCTTGCTTATTAATTGATATTCCAAAATTTTGGAATATCATGGCATGAAGGTGTCAAAGTAAATTTTATTAATTTCTGTATTTTAACAGTTTTTGAGGATTGACATTTTGACTCAGGTATGGTAAAAATGAGTATACTTGTAAAAAAAGTGTAAGTCAAAGTAAAAAGTAAAGAGTGTTTTGTGAGTTCTGATGCTCTTAGACTGTAGGTGAGGTGTATTTTGGATGGCCATTTAACATAGTTAAAATAAAATGCATGGCTTATGGATAATGGATGATCCGTACTGGAGTATAACTAAAGAAAATACAAAACTATTTGACTCCATTGTTCATACAGAGAAAAAATTCAATGAGGAGTGTGATGTGTAACAGTTGCATTCAATAATGTTTTAGATTAATTTAGTTATTTACCATGAGCTGTTTCTGACTGTTTTTACTCTGCTTAACTCTTTCACCAGTGATAAAATTACAAGTAACTCCCGATTGTTTCATAATTCATTATTCCAGATCTTGGAGCAGCCTGAAAAGTTAACTTGGTTGGACCTTTCTTTTAACAAGTTGACGTCAGTTGCTCCCGAGATCGCTTCTTTCCCCTCACTCAAGATATTGTATCTCCATGGCAACCAGTTGTCGGATTTGACTGCTTCTGTTCGTCCACTTAAGTATGCTATGTTTGTATTCGACCCTCATCATAGTAGAACTTTATGCAAACAGTTGAATAACTTCTCCTTCCATAACATCTTGTTTAGCAGCCATAGTCACAGAGAAGTAAGATACAGAGGATACAGGCTTATGGAACAACAGTGCGCTTTTAGCTCTGGTATGTTAGGGGGCAAATTTTGTACCGAGCAAGGAAGAGCTTGAACGGCAATGGACACATAACATTGTTGTACAGCAGTTGTGGAGCACATGGTCTTCCTACATCGTGAGAGCTGTAGTATGTGCAGGCGAGGGGGGAAAGGAGAGCAGGAAGGGACAACGAATAGAATTTGCTCTAGACACTAGAGACTAGTGCTAGACACCACTTAAGTGTACCATTGAATGTTTCCTCTGTATCTTCTCTGTGCTATAGTTAATTATTTATTTTTATAATGGTGGGGAGTCAAAATTGCAGCCAAATTCTTAGGTAGTGTTATCCAAAGAGTTATAAAGATAGAGGATAAGAGCCAATAAGATGCTCTGTAGAAACATAAATAGAATTTTTCATTTTAACCAAATTTCAAATCAATTCTACTATGTCTTCTGAAATAGTTAAATTTGTGTAAAAACAAAAACCCATCACTGTCATAATGGTTTACTACCTTCCTGACCAAATTTGGCATAAAATAAACACTTTTCGTGCAAATTAGTGCAACCACAGAAAAGGAAGAGGAACACAGAGGAAACACTCAATGGTAAACTTAAATGGTGTCTAGCATAGTTGCTGGTGTCTAGGCCAAAGTTCAGCATTGCCCTCCTTACTCTCATATACTACAACGCTCACACTGGAGGAAGACCCTGTGCGATAGGAATTTCCACACTGTGCTTGCCACTAGGGATCTCCCTTGCTCGTCATAAGTATATTTCCAGCACAGCATACCAGAGCTGAAAGCGCACTGTTGTCCCATAGGCCATTATCTTTATCTTTTTTCTGTACACATTCTGAAAAGGATCAATTAATATGAGAAGTAAATTACCTTCCCAACAAACTGATCTGATTTGTCAATGTTTCAACACAAATTTCACTCTTCCTTTGATACAACTTAATAAATAATAAAATAAAATATATAAATATAATATAATATAATATAAATATAAAATATAAAAGAATAAAATACTGAGGAGAATATACGGACCAACTTTGGAAGATGGGGCGTGGAGGATTAGAAAGAATAAAGAGTTAAGGGACCTTTATAAAAGACCTGATATTGTAGCTTTAATTAGAAGTAGGAGAGTCAGATGGCTTGGGCATGTTAGAAGAAGAGAAGAAGGCAGCAGTATAAGAAGAATGTGGAGGGGAAAGCCTGAAGGAAGACGCCCACTGGGGAGACCGAGATTTAGATGGGATGACCAGGTTGCTGAAGACATCGGAAGACTGGGCGTAGAGTTGGACGAGGCAGAAGATAGAGAAAGATGGAGGCACCTTGTTGGCGAGGCCAAAAATCTCCTTGGATTTGTGTGGCCACAGGAGTAAGAGTAAGTAAGAGTAAGTTTGATACAACTTGAGAGCTGTAACACTTTAGTTACATATTATGCTACAATAAGCTGTTACCAAACTACCATCTGTTACAGATGTCTGGATGACCTGTACAGCTTGACTCTCCACGGCAACCCTGTAGAGGAGCGCAAGGGCTACAGAGCCAAAGTACTCACATCACTGCCACAGCTGAGGTCTCTGGACTTCACCAACGTCACGGCGGCCGAGCTCAAACAGATCCAGATACGCAAGAGTGCGAGCGCAGCCGCAGAAAACTACCAGTACCAGAACAGAGTGAAGAGCACCTTCTGAGGCCTACCTAGCTTCCAGCAGCAAGTGCTAACGGACACACTACCAAGAGATGTACAGAATAAAGAACCACAAGTGGAAGAGAAAAAAGTGCAGAAGGAAGTGGACTTTTGGGAAGAGTTTTATCCTAGGATACCGATAGACATTGATAAACGGAAAAGCCCTTGGATTCGAGGGTTTAACAAGTACGAGGAATTCGATAGGTTTGCTTTGTTACCGACTTTTGTGTCTGTGGACGATTTGGAACCCTTGATGGAAATTGAGGAAAACTCATCATTTGTTTCATGAATTGTACATAAAGTTGTATGGTTCTTAATGTTTATATTATGAACTGTTAGTTGGAACAATGTAATTATAAGAGTAATTTTTTCTGGAAAATTAAATTACAGTAATACTTACAACAAACTGTAATGGGGCCTCTTTTGGCCATAAAATATTGACTATCAGGCTTATGAACTATCAGATAACAAAATAGACAGAAAAACAATAAGTTTTGTAAGTCAGACTTTGACTTACATAGCTGACTTTATAGATGGTATGCTTGCATTGCATATTGCATGTTATATTAATTTAATTGATACCACAAACGAGGCAATTAGAATAGACTAATTTAGTTTGGCCTAAAAATATAACTGTTGTACAAGCATGATGATGGACAGAGATTTTTAGATGAGTTTATAGAAGTTTTTCTCCATTCTGCTTTTGAGTTTGTATATATAAACAATTGTGTAACAAATTAAATATACTAGTGTATTAATTTAAACTACTCATTATTTTGACCTAATTGTTGGCAAATACAAGTAAACAGGCATTATTTGTTTGTTTAAGCCACCAACTTAGTAATTTTGGTGATTTTTTTCAGTTGAAGAATAAAGTTTGAGACAAAAATAAGAACTAATTAACCATAAATTAATTTAACGATTTTTGGCTTTTCTAAGCTACTTTGATGCCATAGCGGCATTTACAGGCGTTTTGTAATGCCGCATGACTTATTGGAAGAAATTACTGAAATTAGTCTTGGGTGAACAACCTAGGCTTTGCTCACTTGTGTAATTCTAGTTTGTTGCTAATATTGACTTGCATTACACAGTGTTACTGAACAGCAGCAAAAGGACATTCACTCATTTAAACAAATACTTGGCATATGCTGACTGATACTAGCATTTTAAGATGTCTGAAGTAGAATAAAGCACTTTTTTGTTGCAACAATCTAATTCATAGTTGTATTGTTGTTTGAAATAAATTGAAAAACATGTTTATTGTGCCTGTTATTTGAATGGACCGTATTCTTGATTTCCTAGAATTCTAGTATTTAAAAAAGGAATAAGTATTTAGACAAAACAATGAAAAACGTAATATTATGGCAATAAGTAATAAAAGACAAAATAAGATTTGCATTTTATTAAAACAGTACAATAACAATAAAATGATAACAACCACCTATTTAAAGTTTGTCAAAATAATATCTTATGTATCTACGAGTAATACAGTAAAAACAGCATATAATATTTCACAAACGTATTAAAACTATAGAAATATTTACAAGTTTTCTGACCAATGTTTGTAGGGTCACCCCTTAAACTTTTAAAGTGTTAGATACAGGTTTTTAATTAGTAAGAAGGAAACTAATATAAATACATCTTTGATATAACTATAAAATTATCACAATATAGTATAAAATTACAAATATAATGAACAGAAGAATAGAAAATAAATTAATAATCAAAACAATATCCTTAGTAATACATCAATTTGTGTACAAAATGTGATTATGAAAATACATTTTTTTAGAATGTATAATAATGATTAAAATCATCTTCGGAAATGATTTATTTGAAAGTTTACTTGAACCCTGTTTACCCACGGCCACCTTTAACTCCAGGCTGCAACCTGGTAGAATTGGCAATGTTGCAAGTAGTTTTGTCTAGCGCCAGACGTCCCATAAGATAACATGGCAGACAGGTGACACCAGCTCATTAATTCGCGTATTATTCATTTAATTTTAAAGTTATGAACATAAATGTATTGAAAGATTGAAAATAAAACATATAGAATTGAAGTAAAATCTATTTTTGTACATTTAAAGTGGAGTCAATATTTTCATCGCCCAGTAACCAAGCTTCCATATTCTTAAAAAATACACAAATACCATTAGCTGCATCCAAAACAAAACAGCTGTTACTACCCTACTGGCGATGTTGCCACTTCGAAGGCCGCTGCATGGAGTTAAAGGTGGCCGTGGTTTATCCCAGAGTTTACAACAACATATTAAAAACATTAATTGTGAAGTCCATGGTCTAAGGGTGATATGAATTAGGTACATTATTTTGTTTTGATTGTCACATGTTTTGATACTAACCAATGTTCTTCAATCAGGCCATTGTAGCCAAATCTTGTTATAAATAAGGTTAGTGATAAATAAACACAAACTCTAGACTATTAAATATGCAAACATAATACACTTGAACTTCAGTTGATAAAAGTATTACTTTATCACAGAAAATCTTAAAGCTATGTCACAAGAAGATTACTAGCATTGACCATTGGATACTGTAGTAGACATCCCATCTTAATGGACCAGCTGTCGCCCACTTTTTATTAGAAAATAACATAGTTGTGTGAGCCAGTCGCAGGTTGCGCTAGTGTATAAAATTCTAGTTTCTACGTTATTTTTAGATCAGCACAATCTGTTGGTGGCTCACATAAAATACAAAGATTTTGGTTTAAAATGAGGCGACAAATTTAAAATTGGGATGGAATGTCTAGCTGTATCAATAGTCAAAGCTACTAGCCACTGAATATGGACATGATTTTATTGAGAAAATCTCCGCTACGATGTTCTTCACTTTGCTTACCTTGTAATTTTTCCTTTTTTTGCGGTAATGTAGGCATTTCCTTTGCAATTTTGGTCGCTTCTTTGTCCAGGTCAAAGAGCAGCATCTGGTTGTAAAGTAGGGGCACTACCAGGTTGAATTTTTCTGAAATATGCATAAGTTTAGAAACACTTCCATTGAAAGCTCCGCAGAATGGAAGCCCTAGTGGCATATCTAAAGTTATGTGCTAAATAATACAGTTCCAGACTAGTTCCTTAGAAGACAAGGGAGTTTTTCAACCGGTAGTCTGATGGAGGTTGAGCACACGGGAGACCGGCACTACTGAGAAAACATTAAGCCCCTCAATGTAGGCTATGTAGACGTATTATAATCTAATTTTTGTCAAGTAGATTTATAGAACAAAAACTTTGAGCTCTCTGCTTATAGTTTTCTAAAATGTAATTTTAGTTGGTGTCTATAGAATCCCTATTTCAGATTATCAAACTTTTTTAGACGGATTTAGTATTTTTATGGACTTTTTTAACTGTTCAATGAAATGGCGACCATACATAGTAGGTATTTTAAGCCAAGTATGAATGGAGATGAGTGTAGGATGAGTGGTGCGATCTTGTAGTCTTGTTAGTAACTAAGGCCGACATTCCTTAGCTGTTAATTAATAGCCCATACAGCTAATGGCAACTAAGGGACCAGTTTACAGTTTATAGTGGAATCCGAACCACATTTTTCCTTGGTAAATACGAATTGGTCTAATTATCAGGATAGTACTGCGGATAGTCGTAGTACTCACTCGTGCGGACGTTAATCCACACCAGGGAGTATCGCATCCAATAAATAACCAGAAATACACGCATATCATTATTTTGGAAGAGATTAATGTTTTAAAAAATTACAATAAACAAGTACAAATGCCTACAACATGTTCTAAAAAGCCATAATATGAAATGTTTCTTCACATTTCCCAACGAGTTTGTTTAAAAAAAAAATGTTTTTAATGTAGATTAGTCACATTTTTATTCATGGTTAGGAGTTCAATTATTTCAGTTTTGATTACACAATAACAGGGTGGCTAGTGAAATCACATTGAAAAATTCCCTGACTTTTCCCTGACAATTCCATGATTTTTTTTAAATTTTCCCTGATTGACAAATTCAAAATTACAATTCTAATACTAACTAATTCTTCAAAAGGACTAATCTTTTTCTGAAGAATATCTTATGTTTGTTTATATGAAAAACATTCATAAGATCTATAGATACAGGCTAGCTTATATTCAAACTTTGCAAGGTACCTTAGTAAAACTAAACTGATTTTGATAAGATGATACGAAGTTTATAAAAAAATTTAATTTGTACAAAAACACAAAATTTATTTGTATAGACATATTTCTTAGTTTTCACCCACACGGCACACGTACTCTCACTAGATCGACCTTTCCTAACAATTTTATTATTATAATTATTTTAAACCTTTTACAATTTTCCCTGACTTTTTCAGATATTTAATATTCCCTGACATTTCCAGGTTTTCCAGGTCACTAGCCACCCTGAATAAACATTTTTTATTACCTTTTTTTTGATAACCTTGACTAGGCAAGTAAACAAATTTTTTGTTCAGGTATTAACCCATTGGGGAAGGAATTAATGCGCTACCTGCAGCACCTACTGGCGGCAATTAATTTTACCGAATTTGTAGACTTTTACTCTAACTTAACTGCTATAGAAAGAAAACCTTAGGTAATAAATTAATAATTCTTTCACCATTTTGTTCACAGTAAAATTGTCTACAGAAAAGTGGCAATTGGATAGTCAAAGTTCTAAACAAATATATATATATAAAGATTATAAAAATAAAATTTTAAAAACAATATTTTGAAAGTAAACTTGATATACAAATTCCAAGATTAATCCAGACACCAAATAACACTACTATTATAAAGTTCAATCGATTCCCTACGTAGAAAAATCAAAAGTTGTGTGCTTTTATAAGTAATAACATTTTTTTTTTTAATTGTTTGTTTACCTTACCGCAGCTGATTTTTGGTGATATGTGGTTTCCATGGCAACACAAAATTGTTTGTTATTCGCTAAAATAAATGAGTAAATACGCAAATCAAGAAGCAAGATATTTATAAACATTATAATAGTAGGAAGAAACAAAAAGGGCGAAAAATAATAATAACTAAATAACTAATGGCGCTGCCTAGCGGTGACATGATCGGCACTCGTAAGTCGGCCGCCGGGCCTGCAGCGGCCGTAAGAGTAACGCTCGTAAGTCAGCGCCAATGGGTTAAGTTTTAGGTTTTGGTTTCGAGATACAATATTTCTGGTTTTTACTATCATTAGTAGCTATTTATACCTACAGTGTAGCAATTTCCTCACCTATTTTACCGTTGATTGTCTGCACATCCTCTCTGTAGTTCTTGACATTGTTGCTCCATCTCTCCTCCTGCTCTTCAGAGAGTGGGGGAGGGGGGAGTTGGTCTCTCACTCTCCGCAGTCTCTCTCTCAACCTCTCGATGTCCTCCCGTATCTCCTTCTGTAGCATGATCCACTCCGGCATGAACCCGTTGTCTATCATCACCTGTACATTGGTCGAGTGACTGTCACAATACATGATGCCTTTATATTTGTATCTACCTACCAATAGAACGTATAATTAATTGATGGCCAAATTAAAAATGTCTTCTGGGCCCAGAATCGAGCCCACAAGGGATCAAAATAAAATGAAAATAGCTACCTTCAGATTTGAAGGCAAACATTATAACCACTGGGTTGCTTAGATGGTTCAACAGTGTCTTTTTACTTACCACTAAATAGTCAGTTATAAATTGACCACGCTCACCTGGTTCAACTTGTGAGTGACCAGGTCAACATATGGATTGTGATGGTCCTGCTTGGTGGTCAGTGGCTTGCCTTTGCCTGACAGATTGTCAAACTCCCCCTTGGCCATTGACTCTTGTATCAGGTCCTCTACCAGCCTGTCCATGCCATACCTGCAGGCAAACAATTTAGTGATCAATCAAGCATAAACCAGCTCAAAAACTATTGGGAGCAAAACACCTAAAGCCATATGTCTGGGTTCCTCAGTCAGTAGCTTAACAGACTAAGAATCCTTGGCGTCAATGCATCAGTATTAATTGTGTTTTGCCTCCTGGCATCACTATTAATATCTTTTAGTGCGGATGAGATCACTCTTGTACTTTGCTGGCTCACCAATTGCTTTGCAGGATACGTTTCAGGCACACACCAAAAACTGTTTAATTACAGGAAATCAGTTTCCAGCTAGTTAAGATATCCCCTAAAACATTCCTAACAACTTATTTGTTGTCATCTCCAAGTTAGTATATGGAAATGTAAACAAACAAACCACTGATGATAAATCTTCAGATGCATACCAAGTTTTAATGTTGCAAGCTCGCTGCTTGTTCTTCACCACCAGTGCTTGTCCTCAATGACTGTCTTGTTGTAGTTTGGTCACACGGTGGCTGTATACATTCTCTACTGTCCTGGCCGCCCTATACTTCTGGTACTGCTTGTGCCTCTGTGTTGGAGTGCCTACCTGGTCTTGATGTTGCAAGCTCGCTGCTTGTTCTTCACCACCAGTGCTTGTCCTCAATGACTGTCTTGTTGTAGTTTGGTCACACGGTGGCTGTATACATTCTCTACTGTCCTGGCCGCCCTATACTTCTGGTACTGCTTGTGCCTCTGTGTTGGAGTGCCTACCTGGTCTTGATGTTGCAAGCTCGCTGCTTGTTCTTCACCACCAGTGCTTGTCCTCAATGACTGTCTTGTTGTAGTTTGGTCACACGGTGGCTGTATACATTCTCTACTGCCGTGGCCGCCCTCTGCATCTGGTACTACTTGTGCCTCTGTGTTGGAGTGCCTACCTGGTCTTGATGTTGCGAGCTCGCTGCTTGTTCTTCACCACCAGTGCTTGTCCTCAATGACTGTCTTGTTGTAGTTTGGTCACACGGTGGCTGTATACATTCTCTACTGCCGTAGCCGCCCTCTGCATCTGGTACTACTTGTGCCTCTGTGTTGGAGTGCCTACCTGGTCTTGATGTTGCGAGCTCGCTGCTTGTTCTTCACCACCAGTGCTTGTCCTCAATGACTGTCTTGTTGTAGTTTGGTCACACGGTGGCTGTATACATTCTCTACTGTCCTGGCCGCCCTATACTTCTGGTACTGCTTGTGCCTCTGTGTTGGAGTGCCTACCTGGTCTTGATGTTGCGAGCTCGCTGCTTGTCCTTCACCACTAGTGCTTGTTCCTCACTGAGAGTGTCTTGTTGTAGTTTGGTCACACGGTGGCTGTATACATTCTCTACTGCCGTAGCCGCCCTCTGCTTCTGGTACTGCTTGTGCCTCTGTGTACGAGTGCCTACCTGGTCTTGATGTTGCGAGCTCGCTGCTTATCCTTCACCACCAGTGCTTGTTCCTCACTGAGAGTGTCTTGTTGTAGTTTGGTCACACGGTGGCTGTATACATTCTCTACTGCCGTGGCCGCCCTCTGCTTCTGGTACTGCTTGTGCCTCTGTGTACGAGTGCCTACCTGGTTTTGATGTTGCGAGCTCGCTGCTTATCCTTCACCACTAGTGCTTGTTCCTCACTCAGAGTGTCTTGTTGTAGTTTGGTCACACGGTGGCTGTATACATTCTCTACTGCCGTAGCCGCCCTCTGCTTCTGGTACTGCTTGTGTCTTTGTGTAGGAGTGCCAACTCCCACCCCGTCATAGCTCAGATACTGTCGATGTTGTGGTGCTGTGTGCTGCAATAATTGTACAATTAGTTAAACCTGAGAATTTAATTTATTGTAAAGATAAAGGTGTATTTTAACTAGTTCTTCTTTCTTAAGTAATATACAGTTTGTCTACATTGGGGTATTGTTATTATTATACAAGATATTAGTAGGCTACAAGGTTTACAGATTTGCTCATACAAGATGTGAGTGATACATTTAACTAAGGGGCAGGTGGAATGGCCATGTTTTCAGTTTGAGTTATACCATGAGAGATAAGTTTGAATAGTGTTCTGGTTTAGTTCTTGTTTGTCATTTTTTGGCACAGTCTAAGTTCACTGTAAACAAGTATTTGTTTTAAAATGGTGTTTTTTTAAACTTGAAATTATACCTTAAAAATATAGAGTTTGATTACTCTACACAATATTTTTGCCATTACAATATAGTTTAATATATTTGTCGCTGAAAAAAAAAAAAGAAACTGAGAGAAAAATCTACGTTCAATCATATAAGACATGTTTAACATGTACGCTGCGGGTGGGTAAGTACTGACCCACGGTGATCGCAGCCCTCACGTGGCTGAATCAGTACTGACCCAAACTGCAGTGCATCAATCTGATATTCTGTTGCTCAGTGCCAGCCTGGCATCGGTCGAAAGCGGACCTATACCAAGTTAACGGGAAGTGTGACTTGCATTTTGTTGCGGTGTAGGTTGGTAATAAATTTCCCCGTAATATCTGGCAAGCTTAGAAATCAACTTGTTGTCCTGTCTTTCTCCCTCCAATTGGCAATACAATGGGACCGGCTAAGTTTCAAGCAGTGCTGCTATCTGTGGGTGTTTTAGCGAACTACGTAAAGTCTCGTCGTAACGCAGAACATCACCGCACGTTATTTGCTATTCTTCAGACCGAAATTTGAAAGCCAATCGCCTGGTAATCGGGTTTGTTCGAAGCTGCGCTGCACCTGGGCTACGCCTGCAATGGGGCGCAGCGAACCAGTTACCAGGCCTAAAACTACAACAGTATTTTCAAGAATTTTAACAAAAGTGAATTAATCCTACTAATATTATAAATGAGAAAGTTTGGATGTATGGATGTATGTATGTTTGTGACAAGTAAACACAAAAAAATACTGGTCGGATTGGGCTGAAATTTGGTGTGATGATAGCTCACATTCCCAATTAACATATGGACGCACTCTTATCGCAAAAGTCATTTCGGGCTCCGCCCCAATGGCTCTGGAGTTTCCCATGTTAACCTTATGAGTAATCATATTTAAAAGGAATAAAATATTTTCGTCAGCTGTTTCAAATACACAAGTTGGTTCTATGGTATTAAATAGCATTAACAAGTTATAAGGTTTACCAACAGGGTGTAGCCTAACTATTTTATACAACAAATGTAAAGACAAAAATTTTCTATTTTGTGTCCTCTTCCCATTGCAAAGCTTGGGTACAACAGCTAGTCAATAATAATTGTTAAATTTCTTTATAATCTAGATCAATTTACCCACCTTAATATCGTGCTCTACAACAGGAACGTTATCTTTTCCTTTTTTCTCCTTGTAATACAACCCATACTCTCCTGCGCTCTCGCTCCATCTGTCCGACCACCGTTCTGCGTGAAACTTCTGCTGGAGTTTCCGATAAGCCTTCTCAATCTGTGAAAAAAACAGCTTTGTGAAAGACCAACTAAACCAAACTTGTCAATTGCAAAAATAAATGGATGGATGGAATAGACAAAAGAAGTAACCTCAACAAAGTTTTTAGTACGATAGCTCCAATCAATCAGTTGGATAGAATCTGATCAAGATATTCTAAACTAATCGGGTTGACAAATATTCTTTGTAAAGGTAGGCTATGAAAGACTGGAACTAATTGTCACTCTACCTCCTGAAAACGCTGAGGGTCAGCATCCGTAGATCCGCTGTCAGGATGGTATCTCTTGACAAGTTTCAGAAACGCTTGCCTCACAGTCTCCTGATCACTATCTTCCTTCACCCCCAAGACATTGTAGCATCTCTGGAACCAGGCAAATCATTAACAGTAAACCAAGACTTAAAAACTAAAAACTGTTTCTCCTATGGTTCAGGACAGTGGAAACTACAGTGGAAATTGGACAGTTCAAACTAACATCAAGGGATCAAGCCTAGTTAAAGTTACAAAATCAAACATCTTAACTAGTTAAGTTTTGATAAGAAGGGTTTAAAGGTCACACCTACGATCGCATAGCTATACTTCAACCCTAGAGGGGGCGCATCGCCCAAAATAACACTAGGGTACATCGATCTATTTGACCAAATTAAAATTATTTTAAGAAAAAAGGATAATTGATGAAAACCAAGTAAAATAAGGAAAATAAGTAGCCTACATTATGATATCTAAATTGTTATTCTAAGAAAAACAGCATCATTTTACATTATGGAAATAGAAAATACGTCTTTACAAGTTACAAAGCTTACACTTGATCACCCTCAATCTGTTCTCCAAGATAATATCCTCTATTTATTGCACAAACAGGTAGTGGTATTTTGGTATTACACGGAGGCCAGACATTTTACAGCGCCCTGCGGCGGTTATGTTAGGTTAGGTTATCATAAATATATTTATAGGAATTTTCCCGTTTCGCTATGAATTGAACAATAGCAGATGAGTCATACTTTCTATTTATGATAAACCAACCTAACATAACCGCCGCAGCATGCTGTATAAGGTTGGCCTCCGTACAATACCAAAGTACCCACCAATATTTAGCAAAAAAAGAATATGGTAAAAGGCCATCGACCGATGACTGATGCTTGATACAGAATATACATTTTTCATCCTGTCAACAACGTCGACCCCACTCTTTACTAGATTGTAAAATGTTGAAATCTCAGGCTTGGCAGCATCGTCAGTGGTAGGATGTATAGCATCTGTTTCATGCATGGTAGAGGGCAGAAGAACATTTTCTTTTTCTTAGGTTTGTACAGTAATACTGTAGTTGACGGCTGAAATTCAAACATGCTGCCATTCTATAGTAGGTCAGTAGAACTTTCAAAAATCAATGGTAGCCTAGCTGTGGTTTGTATGGTAGGCCTACCAAGAACAGTCCGATTAAAAAAAAAAATAACATGGGTCTGATGGGTTGAATTGGTGATGACGAAATAACAACAAAATATTAACAGAAAATCAAAACAAATGGAAGATATTGAGGTGCCCATCCCCCCCGAACCCCTGCGCAATCCCCCCCCCCGCCCCCCCAAGCCAAAGGAGTAGTCCCCTCAATTTATGTTGTCGTCTATTTAAACCATCGATCTCTATTATTAGAGATCGATGATTTAAATGATTTAAACCTACCCTCCCCCCACCAATTTATCTGACAATTTTCCCTTTACCTCATAAAACGAGTATTTAAAGTATTTAGTAAACTTGAGGTACAAAAAACAAACTTGCTGATTGAGAATCAAAATTAAATGTTTAATAGGAAACGTCATTTAACAATACATATCTAACTAATGGTTGAATTAGAAGTTTTTCGATTTACAATTCCGAATTTGTATTGTCAGCCAACATGTGCACAGTATTGCTATAGACAACGTCTACAAAACGTTCAACAATATACTCGGTGAATTACTCTACTCCAACACAGTACTGTAACTGTACAATATATTAGGTGGCGTTAATTTTTACAGGGCTTAAGAATTCAAACAGCTTTAAAGTGTATTAATAATACTTTGTTTCAAAATTATAGGCAGAGTCACAAAATAAGACATGCTCGCCACTTCCAGGCTGCCTTCTACAAAAATCGCCGGGCAAAATACCATGCCACCAGAACAAAAGGTTTTTGTGACAAAGTAATCTTATAATTCATTTTTATAGCTCCAGGATTGCCTTTTATGACTAAAATGGTAGGAACGCATCTTGTCAGACAATCCGTTTGTACACTAAACACGAAACGATAACAGATAAGCCTATCAATTCACACGTGTATATTGCCGCGGGCAGGACTGAAGTAAACTGAATCTGGTTATGACAGAAAGATGTGGTCACTGGATTGTCGTCTGTGTTATCAAAAGCTGATATTGGACTAATTGTAGTGACGGAGGAGAGTGTTGAAAATATAATGGGATTCATAATTGAGTTTTCCATTCAAAATTATTGACAATAATAACCAATTTATATGCTGGATATAAATTATGGTCTCGAAATTCTACAGTACTGCACGAAAGGAAATTTATTCAATACTTTGAGGAGTTTGAAATATATAAATACATAAAACTGGGGACAGCACAAAATTTTTGAGTGAAAACACTCAATTAATTATGAATCCCAATATATTTTCAACACTCTTCTCAGTCACTACAATAGTCCAATATCAGCTGTTGAAAACGCAGACGACAATCCAGAGGACGTGTCGGTCCGTCATAACCTTAACCTGATTCAGTTTACTTCCAGTCCTGCCGACGGCAATGTACACGCTTGAATTGATAGGCCTATCTGTAATCGTTAGGTGTTTTGTGTTAAATGTTTGTAACGTATTCTGACGACACCTCCAGAAGGGGATCTTTTGTAAATCCTGACGATGGTGGAGTTAAAGAACCAAAAACATATGTAGCAAGTAAAATTCGACACTGGCATCGATTGTCTGACAAGGTGCTTTACCATTCTTAGAAGCAATCTTAATTACGAACGGCAAAATGTTGTTGGTGTTGATAGTGAGCTACTTAGAAACACTTTTTCGGGCTGCTTGTACAAAATTATACAGGGCGACCTCTAGGAACATATTATATAAAAAAACTTATAGAAACTTTTCTTATGGAGATTTAACATGGGACAACATTTTAAAGCTTACGACAGCTAGCCTGATCATTGATCATACTACTGGACCGAATTACACGCGGTTGGTACCAAATGTAATTGTCTCTATATTTGTCTATTTTGCTTCGATTTCAGATATTACTTGACTAAGTGTTTTAAAAAAAGAAATTAAAAAATCTATTGATAATTTAACATGGGGTAAAATTTTAAGTCTAATAGGAGCGTGATCTGGAGATCTATTGGACAGATTTACATGCAGGTTGTGTTAAATGAAATGTTTCCCATGTGCCTGAAAAGTTAACTATTCCTTTAGCGAATCTTATATATTAAAAAACATTTGGAAAACTTATGACAATTAGCCTGACCTTATTAATGGGACGATTTACACACACGTTGTACCAAAAGAAGGTTATGGAAGAAATTCTAATCGCATGTTTTATTTACAGCGTGGGGTTAAAATAGAGAAGTTTGCAAAATACATACTTTTGGTCAAGTTTTTGACAACGGGGCGAGCTCTCGTCATCTCTAAAACATAATTAATAAAAATATAATTATCTCACTATCAACATCATGATCGCTTTGAGTAACTTTTAACACTCTGAAGTTTTCACAATGCCCGTTTTAGCACATTGATACAGTTAACCCCTAGCCAGCATTATTTTGACATTGATTTCAGTTCTATTTATATAGTACTGATACTTTTAATGGACCACGCAAAAACAAAATTACGTCATACAAATAATACCTGCATGGTTTGTTAAGTTAATCATATTTAACTGCTTCAACTCTTGATCTGTAAATTTGCAATCTTCCAACTACAGTTAGGCCTAATATGAATTGATCTACTATTTTATACAGATGGATTAGCAGACACATAAAGTGTATATTAACCATTTGAGGTCGAAATTCTTTTTTAATTTTTCTGCGACTGTATAGGTTGCCATTCGAGCAGTCAGGAAAATGGCGCCCGGCGACCTATACTCGCCATTCAACTGCAAAGAGAAAGTTTTTAATTTTTCTTTTAGTATAAGTTAGGTTGTCATTTTTGAGCAGTTGGGAAAATGGTGGGCGGCGACCTATAGCCTACTTGCCATTCGACCGCAAAGGGTTAAAAAAATTACGTATTTGGTGCGTGTCTTATTTGGACACTTAACTGATTTTATCAGAAAAAAAACAAGCTTCCTGAAATGTTAAAATCTAAATTTCTTGATTTCTCATGCTATTTTTAGAGTTGGTAGACATAACATTCACAGATTGATACTAACTACCTTACTCGCTAAAAAGATCTATAGATCATTTAACATAGATCAATTAACAGAAAATGCTACTGACACTACGTACCTAAGTTACCTACAATAAGTTATTGGTCAGAGTTTGAATTAAAAGAGTCAAATAAAAATTAACCTTAAATTTTTTAAATTTTACCGTGTATTCTGCAGAGCGGAGTTGAGTTGCATAGAAGCGTATTGCTGATCTGTCTTCAATAAAACAATAGCAGCAACGAAGGAGTTTTCCATTTTTCAACAGAGGAAACCGACGAACTACAAGCTCCATAAAACCTGCACAAAGAAGAGCGTTGATATAGGCCTTATGTAATAAAAACTGTAAAAAATTTGAATTTGCATAAGGTTGACTTCAATATAATATCGATGTGGTAAACAGGAATTGCAAGAGATTGTTTATTTGCTTTCTTGAGTCGTTTGATGCCATGTTGTAAGATGTGATTGAAACAGTATAAACAATGATTATCTAATTCCAGCCTTGAATGTAGTTTTCGTTGTTTATAGTCTATTTATGATTGTTTTTGTTGTTAAATTGTCTATTTATATTGTTTTTCATGAACATGCCTGTATAGCTGTCACCTCCTGTATATCATGTATATTTATTCATCAAAACTGTGTTGTTATCGTATTTCATATTATTTATTAGTATTTCATACTTGTTATAATATTTAATTATTGATCGCACTTACCTATTTCACTTTAAGTCACAATTCATTTGCATAATCTCAACTCAACTCTCTTGTAAAATGGCGTTTGCCGTGTATGTAGCCTAATAAATAAATAAATAAAATAAAAAAATATCTTTTTCAGCCTGTTTATATGCTTTTGTACCATTATTTATTTGCATGATGTGTAAGTTTAGGTGTTCCAAGATCTTGTACAGCAATTGTTTACTTTTGGTTGACTGAACTTGACTTGTACTTCTACCAGTACCTATGTATTTATATAATTTGACGGTGTCTCATGCATTTATATAATGTCTATAGATGAATAAATATCATTTCAGTGACTTTTTAAATTCTATTTGTTTTAGTTGCTAGTAACAGCATTCAAAGGCCTAAATTACTCGGCCCTAAGTCACAAAAATTAAGTTGACAAGTCGCAGCTCACAGTCAGGAAATCACCAAATCACTGATTTGCCATACAGCGCTGGTAAAATTAATCAATGCAACCATTGTATCACTCTTCAAGTCTCAAAAGCTGAGTTAACTTATCGATTAACTTACCTACGTAAGTTACCTGTTGTAACATGTGAGTCTAATCCTTACAGTAACTTAAGGCTTACTATTTCTTGAGGCTGCACTTTACTTTACGTCCTACACTCATTCAAATTAATAACTTACATCGATTGATATATTGCTTATTTCATTCTATATCAAGTTTGGTTAATTAGGTTGAAACCTAACTGAACTAAATTAACCCTTTGAGTGCCAACGTCCGGGGAACCGGACGTTTTTAAAACGAGCCAAAAGTGCCGACGTCCGGCCGACCGGACGTTTTTAGAACGGCTGACCGGACGTTTCGTAATGATCGAACAGTTGTCATAACAACCGAATGGATACTCGGATTCTTTTAACCCATATATTAACATTGAGTCGAAAGTTACTAGATGCGATACATCGATTTTTGTTGGTCAAAATATTGAAAATTCGATTTTTACAAAATTTTAACCTAAAAATCGCCAGATCGCGCTCGGCATTTTTAGCGCGACCTTCGGGAAAAATCATCGGCATTTTTTGAGCGTTACTTTTATTTCTTGCCTGGCACTCTAAGGGTTAACCGAATGAAATAATCGATATAGGTATCAATATTTTTCATTTGAATGAGTGTAGGACGTAAGTGCAGCCTTTCTTGACCTTGACAATAAATTAGGCTACACCGTATTGGTGTAGGCAAATGAAAATTACCAACAAGAGGCCTAGGCCTAGATGAAAATCAAGCAACTTCTGGCCTAAAAATTTCAGTCTTAAAGTTTAGACCGATGACAGGAGATGTTAAGTTAGGTAATAAACAACAACCTATAAATTATTAAGGTAAAGCTGATTTAGTATTTTATAGTTTTAAAACCCTGTTTACATTTCTGTCATGACAGTGTAAACACAATAGGCTAGGTCTAAGTTTTAAGAGATTGAAACTACACCTAACTTAAATCAAGTTGTGTTCTAAATTAGTAAACCAGAAGCATATTATTTCGTTTGGGTGTTTTCCAGCGAAATAGCAATAAGTTATAAGTTATTTTTTAAAGTATTTCTTACCGAAAGTAATCTGACGGTGACTTAATGAGGTTATGTTTTGTGACCTATCTCGTACTCGTTTAAAAACTCAAGTTCAAGAAGAGCCAAGAGCACAGACCAACTTACGTATTATTTGTATGTTTATTATTTTGATTTTGTTTTTTGTTTATATCATGTACAATCAGCTGATTATTCTGCTGTCAAATGAAAAGTCATGTAAAGAGCTAAACTTCGAAAAAACTAAATTTATTGTAAAAAGTTAGTTTGAGACAGTGTTATGTCGTTTGAAACTTAATAAAAAGGTTTTTAAGTTTTTAAAACCAAAACAAGAGGAAAGGTTTTGTTAAACTTTATTATTATAACGGTACCACATAACGGTAGTTAGTGCTGGTTTTGACATCAAAGTAGTGATTGTCATCATGGCTGAAAAACGTAAAGGAAGGAAACGAAGAGAGGTAATTTTTCTTTAAATAATTATTCATGTTTACTCTCTTAACATTTTACCTTACGCATCGCGCTACAATATACACTAAATTCAGTAATTTGAATCTAAATACTCCCAGACTTCGGAGTGAGTTACCGGGCATCCATCTCGACTTAACTTAGGCCCTTGGAGAGAATGACACAACTTCAGATGACGTTGCTTACTTATAAAAGCTTAGGGTGCGAAACGTTTTTTAACACTTTACTTTGGTTGTGCCACTATAAAACATTCGTTTAAAGACCATTCATAGGTTTTCAAATCAAATTACTGAGCTTCATTGAGTAAAATAATCGCTATGGGCCAGGCATAAGTTGTAGAATGTTGAGCTAGGCCTAGGCTAAACATGTAAGAAAGAACAACGGTGATTCATACGAAGTTATGCTTTTTTTATCTAACTAGCGTGGTGACAGTGAAAGATTTACCCCAGTTACAGTATCAGGTAGGTACAGTACTCACCGCTCTTTGGTCATAGGTAAATAGGCTAAGTAACTTCAATTACTTACCTAGGCCTAAGGTACAGAATTTTTGTACAAATCAATAGACCTACTTATCTTACATCCGTTTTAAAATAGGACTGGTCCCGTTCAGTGCTGTTACATTTGGGCTAGAATACTTAATTTAACTTAGTTTGTACTTGTTGAACAGTTTCAAATGCCTGGTAAATAGGCCTATCATTGGCGGATGATCTATAACGACTTTGGTAAGTTACGTAGGCCTATAATTCAGGTTGGCCTAAACTTAGTTCTTTCGTGTCTAAGTTAAATAAGTTTAGACACTTCCCTTACAAACTTTTTGGACAGCCTGTAAGTGTCAAGTTAGTTCCGCTGAGAACTTCTTCAGAAGCCTGCCCCCCCCCCCCCCCCCCCGAAATAATGGATATGAAGAAAAATAGGTACCACAATATGAATTATTTATTATGAATCATGCGAGAAGTCTTCGCTGTGGCAGACATTGATAAGTTAGTTTGTGCGAGTTCGGGTTGATTCAGTCCAACTCGAGGTCCCGCCTGCCACCCGGCTATCTTCGCTTGGTGCAACAGTGACCGCTATAGCTAGAGTCCAGCATATCCACCAGCGACAGGGAAGGGGGAGTAATGAAGAGTTCAGTGGTACAAGCGTCTACTTAAAGCCTGACTAACTAAACCAAAAATTAAAATCATTGCAAACGAAAAAAAAAAACGGGCCGCTGAAAAAGGGAACTAGTTTTTTCATGTGAAGTAGGTATGTGATCTGTCGTCTGTTTTGTTTCACTCTCTCCCGCTTCACTAGCTGTTTGTTAGCTTAGCTTTCTCTTAAACTATCTACGGTATTGAATTTGATATATATAGTAAAAAATATACCGTGACACACTATCGTATATCACTCCGTACATCGGACCGATCTTTTCTTTGGTCTTTCGCCAAAAAACCGCCTCCAGAGCGCTCGTCTCCCTGCTCGGCCTGATGACTGAACGTTGTCTGGATCGGTGTACGGACCCCTGACACACTATCGAACATGATCCCTTCGACCTCCCTTCTCTCTTCTCCCTGCTCAGTTCGGGGTCTTGTTCGGGGAAAGGATGGATAGTGTATTACTGTCTTAAACCCTGTTATAAGTTTGGTACAGACCCTTTTATTTTATTAGTGCTAATAATTTCTTAAATTCGGAAGTCAATTTGGATGTGATTTTTTATTTCTTCTATAGCCTAAATCAGACACTTTCAGGGCCTATCGTCTTAGTTAGGCAGCATCAATCTCTGTCAGGAATCACAAATAAATCAAATGCCATGGATAACAGTTATGTTTAACTTTTAGCTTATAATTTAAGTTTTAAGTTGGTTTCTGTTATTGAATGGTGTGGTTTTAGTATTTTTTTTAGAATTGAGGTTATTGGTGAAGGAGGTTCTTCTTTTTCAGTGGCCAGTTGTTTTTTATTTTTTTTATTTTATTTTTTTTTTTTGTTTTCAATAAGTTAAGCTACGCGCGCACTACGGACGGTCGGTATACGGCACGGACGGCATTTTTAAGAGGGGGTGCGCGCACTAGGGCGGCTCGGCACGGACGGACGGGACGGGACATCCGCACACCCGCAATTTAGGACAGTTGACAGTCTGCGAGCTAAAAATAAAGTGGTGATAGTAGGTTTAATTTTAGCAGAGGAAGAGGAGACAAGAAGGTGCAAGCAAAGATTTTAGATACACCACAAAAACAGGAAAAGACTAAGTTTTGGAGAGTTCCACACCTTGTTTCCTGATCTTGTAGAAGGATTATGTGTAAAACTTACCTGATTGTTTCATAATAGATCATATTTCTGCCCATATATTGTCACGTCGGACGTTATTAAAATATTCCGGATGTCGCATGTTGTACAGTTTCGGGTATTTCTCGACGAGAAAAATCAACTTACTAACATCTATGTTTACAACATACGAAAACACTGCTACTTTGACAGAGATCAGTTGAGAATGGCGGATGTCCCGTGCCGCCCGCCCGGTTAGTGTGCAGTACTCCCGGTCGGTACGGGCGTCACGGCAGCTCGGAAATGTCCTGGAGTTCTGTCTCCCGGACTTTTTAACAAACAGCGGAAGCTGCCGAACGTCCGTTGCCGGCCGTACCGCCGTAGTGGGCGCACTCATATGACTTTCAATGTTATTAACTTTAAAAAATTGCCGTGCCGCCGTAGTGCGCGCGCAGCTTTAAGTGATCAGTCAGGCTGTAGGCGCTTGTGTTCATCGGAAGCCATTGTTATTGTTTGTAATTTACATCTGCTTGACATATATTGTACTGAAATGTTAAGGTTTTGCAGTTCGCTCAAAAGAATGGTACAGTAGTTAGAACCCCTCCGAATATGATAATCACAATCACATATTTGACTCCTTAGGTTCGGATAAGTGTTTACAGATGGGATGACACACTGTTAAATCTTGACCAATGTTTTTTTATTTATTAATTGAGATTTTTTTCATCTGGCTTGAACTGATACATTTTTATGATTTAAAGGAACGATATGATGATACAGCATAATCTCGGTAAAATAAATTTAGCACAAATTACCACAGCAAAACTGAGATAAAGTATCATCGCGTGTCTACCTGGAATTACTTAATCTAACCTTAAATTAATCCCGGCCCCCCACCCCCCTCCCCAAAAATTCTATATCCGCCACTGAGTGTAATACCGGCTTTATGAATCATGTTGAAAAGTTAAAAAGTCGGGACCACGAGAGTCTGCAGTTGTCAGCAGCCAATCACAAGACAAGGCTAGTGCACCATTGCATTATCGCTCGTTGAAGACACTTAATTAAAATACTAAACAATATTTTCAAATCAGCTGGTATTATTAGATTTGGGGAGCGAGCTGGTGTAGTGGTTAGAGCGCGTGACTTCAGTCCCTGAGGTCCCGGGTTCGATCCCCGCCAAGTCACCAATGGATTTTATCTAAATTGTGATAATGCCGCAACCCCTAGGTCTAGCCTGAAGTAATGTGAAAAACAATCCCAGGCTCGTGCCTAGGACAAAAAAAAATTAGATTTGGCAACCCCGCACTGTCCTCATTGGCTCCTTCGTAAAAGGCTCAACTCCCTCAACTGCAGACACTCGTGACCCTGACTGTAGGTCATTAACATCCCAGGGCGCTACCGTAGTGCGCATGCGCGTATTCGGCGATGCGAGCTAGACGTAGACCATGTTAAATAGTTTTAAGCTTAGTTTCATCGTCTACTGTTGAATTTTATTAGTTTCTAAACATTGTCTATTTTTGTTAATATTTGGTAATGTATTTAACCTAGAAGGAAAGAGACGACTTGTATTTAAGGACAATTTTTTTTTAAGGACGAAGCACCTGTACAAACATTTTATAGGCTAATACGTTGTACGTTTTGTGCCAATAAATTCATTCATTCATATTAAACAGGTATATTTACACGATTAGAATAGAAACTTGCTACAAGAGTTAAAATAATAAATTAAAATAGCCTAATAAGTTTGTGTAACTAACCTGGAATATTCTATCTGATTGACTGAATCATTACGCTTCTGGTAGGCCTATCACATAAACTAGTAAAGTGTTTGAAGTAGGTAAATTATTAAATGCACTAAAAAGAAAGCTTTTAATCCAACTACTCCAATAAAAGGATATTAGACTATTGTTTTTTTACACACTACATTCCAACATGCACTGTTTAGAGTATGTGATCCATCACTTAAGTAATTACCATAAAAAGTTATTTTTCATAATATAGGTACTACAAGCTTGTCCCAAGTGGCTTTATCATCTAAAAGCATAAACTAAATGTATTATTCAAAGAGAATTCTATTAATACTCAAATATAATATTGCAATTGCTTGAATAATTCAGTAAGTATTTAATCCATTTAGCTTCATTATAATTTTCTTGATATAATTTGTTCTAGTATTGAACTAATACATGTTGGTGACTAGAAAGTTTTATAAAAATGTTCCTACTGCATATAATATTGCATTGTTTCTATGACATGATATTTTTGGACGTATGTATTAACTTAAATCATAGTTTTTTTAGCATTTTAAGTTACCGGTAACCGAGGCTTTTTTCTCTTTATGAAGTAAATAACATGGAGGTACAGTATTTGTAAAGGCCCGACCCAATCTTTTATTTACCAGAACCAATTGACCATTTTTGCATGATTGAAAAATGCTGAATTTCCGTGTCACAACTAAACTTGAGTTTACTCAGTTTTTACCTTTAGATTTTTTATGCCAAAGCAATGTCGGCTTGCTAATGGAAATCGTAGATGATAACAAGTAGATGTTTAGTTATAGCCTAGTGAATTAATATGTCAGATTCTCATAGTTAGAATTCTGTTCAACAGGGGTTTAAGAGTCACTACCAACACTTGTGATGAAAAAGTCAATTATTCAGTAGTAAATTACTTGAAATTAGGCCTATTATAATTAAAATTAGAGGGCTTTGTTAAAATTTATGTTTGTAGTTTTTTTAGTTATTAGTACAAAATGTACATGTAAGTTGTAAGTTCTTTACATTTTTTTCATCTGATAAAACAGGTACAAACGACTTTGAAAGAGTTTGAACCTTAAAAGTTAATTTATGACTAGGCTTTTTAAACATCACCGTAATGATACTACTCATTCTTGAACATATCCTACTACTGTAGTACCCTGAATAAAAAAAGCTCATATTTTTCATAAAGTCTTGACAAAATTAAGCTCAAACCTTTTGTTTTCCATGTGCCACGTCAGCTCATCCCACTGTAAACTTAAAACGACCGTTTGGAAGCTAGTTACATCAGTTACATTAGGCCTACTCCATTGTGTTTCATGGTTTGTTCAAGTAAAACATTCAAGTTAACTTGTTGAATGACAGTTGGTTGAACAATACCTTGTTTTCAATTATGTTTTTCACACTTCTGTCCGGAGTGAATGTGGTCGATAAATTTGTTAGGTTAGTGTAGACCTATTGTTTATAAATTTATGGAAGAAGAGAGTGTTTGTGAGTTTGTGAACTATGTTGTAAGTTTTGTAACACATAATATCAAAATAATGTTTAAAAGAATGGATGTGGTATTGAAACTTATATTTGATCCTTGAGTTTACGTATTGTGTAGGGCCTATCTTAAATCTTTTTTAGTCTGAGTTGAAATACAAAAATTTTAAAATAATAATTATCCGTAACAAATATGTGGTTAATAGAAATAATGTAGGTAACTTTTCGCATAATTTTTGCTTGAGTTTTCACGCTAAACATATTTTCAAACATAACATTTTAAAACAAGATTTTAATTAATTTTCCTTCCAATAATTTTTGTTTACTAAAGTATGTACCGTACTGTAGTATAATTCTACTGAGTAGGCTATAGAGATTGCCTAAATATGTCAAAAATATGTTTTTATTAAATAATTGTCAAAAATATTTAACTTTTTAAAAATAAAATGTTACTAGATAGTTATAAAATGTTTAAGCTATAAATACGTAAATTTTAAAGTGTTGATATAAAGTCTTGAAGTGATTGTGCAATGCATTTTTGTACTGAGAGATGTTGCAAGTCAAACTGTCTGGCTAGGTATTTTGCCATAACAGATATTAAATCCCTTAGTCATTTGAGATAACTGCTGAAGGCGATAATCTTTTATAATTGGTTGCTAATACCACAGTTTTTGCGAACATAGCGTTTTTAAAGTAGTTGTCTGAAAAGGGATCAAAGATTTTGTTCAAATAATCAGTGTAAGCCCACATAAAAAATTTTCTTTAAATATCTTACTATGCTCTGTAGAATGTTTAAAGGGCAATAATGATTCTTATTCTTATTCTAATTTTCATCCAGTACTTAAGTCCAAAAATTAGGAGTATCTTTGTTACAAAGCAAAAATTTAGATAGCTAGGCCTAAATGTGAAATGAGTTTGATTCCAATAAGCTTCAGATTGAAATAGAACTAATCCAAAAGTCAATATAATCTCATTTATTGGGACCATAGCGTTGAAAATAATCGTATCATCTACTTATTGACTGGATCTTTCTAGGAATTCAATCCGGATGGGGATGAGAAACCTGAAAAGCCGGATCCAGAAGAATATAAAGTGGCCAAATGGATGAAGAAAAATATTCCATTGAAGAAAACCAAGTTTCTCAACCATAATGTGGAGTATTTTACTGGTAGGAATTTTGCAAAATATTGCCTTTATTTGTATTTATGGCTGTAACAACAATATTACTGTTAGATCGAGTCCAAACAAGTTTAAACTTAAGTAGCTGTGGTAACTGGTTATATCCAGGATTTTAATGTCACATAGTCTTGGAAGTGTTCTGGCTTAATATTGTTTAATTTAATAGCCACTTGTCCTAATTTTATAAACAGTGTACAAGAGTACCATTATTCTTAAACTAATTTGGAATCGAATCCTGTTTTGATTACCAAATTTTTCGTATGAACAAAAAATGCAGTAAAATAGAAAAAAAACTAAAACAATTTTTAAAGACTGTTTTGGCCATTGATTGTTCCCTACAATCACAACACTGCAATGGTCTCATGTGATCACAAGAAGAGTCATCATTTTTCTGAGATGGGGTAACATTGTGAAGATTTTCCACATGGCAACAATTGGATAATTTATTGTGATTGCAGGAATATTCTTTGTTATCTACTTGAATCTGGCAACACCTATAGTAATCTTCTGATCCCTGTTATTTCACTCCAAAATTAAGAAAGAACTAATGTATCACTTTCAATGAATACTGTTGACGCTTCACCATAGACTAATGGCGATCCGCAAAACTCACTGCTGTGCCTATGTAAAATTCACCAACACAATTCTTTTTTCCTGGACATCAAAATTCATGTACAATTCCTTGGTTGGTTTGACACCCTGGTCAGAACACATTTCAAATTTGTTTTAAATTTAAATACAGTAAGATCCTTTTCCTCTAATAGATTGAATTGATTTTCTGTAAATTGTAAAATGTGCTAGTTAAATAGTTTTTACTGAAAAAAATCATAGGTAAATTTACTATGAGGAACAATGTATGGGAGATTTAAGTGTTAAAACAGAATTATATTCATTCAGGTGAATTGTTTTTTTTTTACTGAATTTATTCTTAAATCAACTAGGGCCTTTCCTGTCCAGGCCTAACTTAAAAACTAGTAGCAAGAGTGACAAATTCATTTAAATCTTTGTAGTTTTTTAAGTAGCCCCTCTATGAAATATAAAAAATTATAGGATAATCTGTAAGGATATTTTCTGTAAGAATGGGAAATGGTACGATTATATGAAGAATGTTCCTACATAATAGTTATTAGTTAATATTATGTTGCTTTTATTGAAAACATCAGTCTATTGATTACTTGCTGAGAGGAATGCTTGTAAGTGTTAATGTATTAGTTTTCTATTGATTTTTAACAGCCTTTTGATTGTTTATATTTTTATGAATTATTTCAGTAATAGACCATATTGAGAGTTTTATTTTCTATCCTCTAATATTTTGTACCTTTGTAGATTTTTACTTTTTTACTTTTTTTTTACTTAAGCTGCAATTGCAAAGCTTCCAAAGCTCAAAACAAAAGATCCTATGCCACTTTATTCGCAGATTTTAGTTAAATCTATGCCGTGTTTGAAAAAACCTCGTCCCAGGATGGACTCATTTTGTAATAAGTTTATAAAGGCTCTAATCACACTTCACTTGAAATTAATTAAATAATAAAAAATTAAATAATCAAGTAAGAAATTTTAAAAAAATGGCTTGATACATATTGTAATTAACGTATTTTGACTGTCAACATATGGTATCAACAACATACAATATTTAAATCTTCAACAAGTTAAATGCACACTTTCAAGGTTAAAGTATCTGTTTAACATGTGTACTGTTCAGGGTCCCATTAATCTCAAATAATTGTAACCAGATTGGATTACCAAATCGTACAGATCATTCAGAAATGCTGTAAAATAAAAACAATGTATTTTTCGAACTGTAATAATTGGTCATATATTGCTCCCATGACCACGAGTAAATGTGATTGTCTCCTGTGATCACGACAACATTATGACCTTCCCTTCATTTAAATATCAGATTATCCCATCTAGTGCCATCGTGGAAACACCAATAATCATCCCCAGTGATTGTTTTCTTACTTCATTGACTTACTACTAAAAGTGAACCAACGGAACGATGTTAGAAGCTCCACCATAGGCCATTGACAATTATTTACTATTTCCCGGCTTAATACAAAAGTTAGTAAATTTCACAGACTTTTCCGCGGTCATAAAAATTGCCAGTCGTACGTTTTCCGGTTAGCTTTGACACCTTGGTTAGTATTTCAGAACAGACACAGAAAATCGAGATACAGAGGATACATTCAATGGTACTTAAGTGGTATTTAGCACCTGTCGCTGGTGTCTAGAGCAAATTTTATTTTTCGTCCCCTTCCGCTCTCCGTTTTTCCCCCTCTCCATCACGTACTACAGTACTTAGGCTGTAGCCTTGCGTCCTACCCATATTTTTTTAAGTGTAAGGTATTAAGGTTTTATGCTGGTCGCAATGATACCTAATATATGTGTATTCCAGGATCAAAGGCTGTGGACGGGCTGATGGAGTCAAAGTGGGCCAAACCAGAAAAGGAAGGGGAAGATCCGCTTTTCCTCACTCGCTTGGACGTTGTTGAGTTTTTGGACAAGTAAGTGTCACATCAACACCAATATAACCTTATCGTTTGTCCTTTGTTATTGTTTGGTACGATGTTAAACACATTCATTTAGTTATATTACAAACATTTTCAGTTTTTGTGAAAAAGTGTGTACATTCTATATGTAGTTAAGTTATTAAAAGCTTTATTTAAAAAAAATTCCTGACTAAGGGAGAAGATGGACTTGATCTTACTCACAAAAAGTTTATTCATCGTTCAACAAATGATCCCTAATGACCTTTAACCTTTAAAAACAATATTAAAAAACCGTACAGGCATTGGTGTTGATTGAATTTAGTTATGATTTTGATGATTGGTATTGCCATAAAACGTAAAATGTTTTATTTTAATATGAATACACTTTTACTATATTTGCCTGATCATACATTTCATACTGGTATAAAATTTGCAAAGAAAAAATTCCCATCAGTAAAAACCAGAATAGCCCATCTCAGGCCTGATACTGATATACTTTTTATAATATGCGTATCTATTATTGTTCAATAAATTAATTGATTGATTGATTGATTGGTTCCTTTAGATTAGCCTACCTAATAAACTGGACTTGAGGTTTGCTTTAGCAACGGTATTATAACGACTCCTCGCTGTTCATCCTTCTGTCCTCTTCCCTTCGAGATGGGTATGAAGCTGGATATGAACATTGACTTTGGTGTATTTTAACTACGGTTTACATACCAGTTGTGTCCTAACCATGCAAGTTTAAGTTTCACTATCTGTTTTTAAACTCACGCTATTTACATTTTCCTCAGAATGCTAAGGCACAAATTCTTTCATCGAGCAAAGAAGGTTCCAGTGTCTGAGCAAGAGTTGAAAGCCAAAATGAAGAAAAAGGGGAAGAAAGATGATGAGAAAAACGAAGAGAAGAAAAAGAAAGAAGAAGAAGCAGCTGAGAGTAGTCATGCCGAGGGGAAAGAGGGAGCTCAACAGGTTGGTGTTTGTAAACTACCTAGGTTTTGAATGGGTACTAAAATCTCTATTTGAATTATAAGTTGTCCCAAAAACCAAATCAACAGGCATTTTGCACAAAGGTATTCTGCATGTACAGAAATTACTTCAGACCTAATCCTGTTTCAATGTTGACCTAGAGCTTTGCCCATTGGGCTTTCACAAGTTCTGAAGTTGTTTTTTGAATTGCATGTTTTGTAACGCTACGTATTGTTTTCCTGGGGGTATCATTAATTACATCAACTAAATTTATGTCCTCAAATGTATGGGATGGGTGACTAAAAATGTTTTTCTAAAGTAGCCTCAAAAGAAGTCAAGCACTGAGGTTTCACTTCATGTCAAACTTTATACAGTAATCTTTTACAAAGCGTATATATTTGTAGGAAGAACGGGAGAAGAAGAAGAAGAAAATAAGATTAGAAATGCACATGGACCAGTTTTTTGACGATGGATTGGACGCGTACGTCTGGATCTATGATCCGATACCCTTCTACTACTGGCTGTTTGGAGCTCTCGTAGTTTTGGGAGCCATCGCTATCTGTATGTTCCCTCTGTGGCCTCCTACAGTGAGGTGAGTAGGTTATTGGCGTTTGACAGTCACACCTCTTTGAAGCGCTTGAAACTAAACCCTAGAACTTTTGACCTTAGACAAAACTTAACCTTCAATATTTCAAATTTGTAGCCAGTTTTAAATTCAGATTTTGGTTTCAACTTGACTGGTTTAAAGTTACAATTTTAGATTAAGATTTTGGTTAAATTCGCTAACTTTGCTGGTTTAAAGTCAGTGTTAAAGTTAACCTAATACTCCTGAAGTTGGAAAAACATCAAATGCTAATGCATCTGGTTTCATTTCTGGAAAATGGGCTCAAATAATTGTTTTGATGCTGAAATTGCATTGTATGATAAGCTCTAATCAAAGTCAAAGTCAAAGTCATCTTTATTGTCACAAAACGTTTTTTTTTTTATGCTCTGGCACAGCCAGACAAAACAGGTGACATTGTCAAACTATACTAAAATAAACTAGCTTATATTGGTAAAAATAAATACATAGTAGGTAACAAAACAAACAATTCACATTGATTTATCTTCAAGAAATTGACCAATACTATAATAATTCTTTTCCAATAAAAATTCAAAAATTTTTTCTTTAAAAGATACTAATCCTATTATAGATTTGTAGTACCCAGGCAAATTGTTAAAAAATCTTTTACCCATATAAGAAGGTGTCCTTTCCACAAGATTTAATCTGTGTATAGGATATTGAAAATCTGTATGAAATCTAGTGTTATAATTGTGCCGATTATTTTCACTGTGGAGTTTTTCAAAATTTGATTTCACATACAATAAACATTTAAGAATATACAAATTAAATGTAATCAGTACAAAAGTTATAGAAAAATGTTATATACAATTTAGTTTAGGGCACGGCTAACTGCTACGGCTTGATGAGACATTCTTGTCTTCTTGGGTTTTGTAAGCGAGTGCTGAGTTTCTTTCCTTGAGCTACGTTACAGGTGTTGTATGGACTGTTATCGTGTGTAATGTTGTCAGGATGGGAGTGTACTACCTGAGTGTGGCGGCCGCTGGTTTCCTCATGTTCATCATCGCCCTGGCCATCCTCCGTCTGATAGTCTTCTGTCTACTCTGGGTCCTGACTCTAGGCAAACATCACCTCTGGCTCTTCCCCAACCTCACCGAGGACGTAGGATTCTTCGCTTCGTTTTGGCCACTATATCAGGTATTTTGTTGGTTTCCTGTGGTTAAATAATGTTGATAATTTGTAGCTTTTAATATGGTCATCTAAAGCAAACTATTTACAAACAGGATTCTACTGATAAATTGCGGATGCTGAACTAAAAGGTAAGTTTCCACAAACAAAGAATACTGTTAAATTTAGTCTTTGGAAGATGACTATGTTGTTGAACTCGTAAAAATACTGGCAAACATTTTGAATCCATTGCAGTATTCAAGTCCACTGAGTTGAATTATAACTTGCCCGAACCATGGACTGCTGCATTGCATCCATAGTTTTGCCTGTTTTGAATTTGCTTTTTATATACTTTGTTTAAAATGTTTTCAGTATGAGTACAAAGGAGGCGAAGGAAGTAGTAAGAAATCAAGCAAAAAGAAGAAGAAAGATAAGGACTCTGATAATGAGGAAGAAAAGACCGAAAAAGAGGATGAAGAAGAAGAGAGAGATGAGGAAGAAGAGAGGGAGGGGGAACTTGAAGCAGAAGCCAGCCAACCAGAAGATGACAAGCCAGATGATGATAGGTGAGGGTTTCATTTTTTAATCTATAACTAAAACGTTGCCAACTAATTTGATATTTACAAATGAACCTTAATGATTTATGCTTTTCCCCAGAGATTGATGGCTCGTTACTACAAACCTATGGCTTTTTTATGCACTTGATTGCAATTAGTTGTTGAGATGACTGTGCAGATGAACAAAAGTGACAGTGGTAGTGCAAGTGGTTTTGTGTGCATGCTCATCCTGCTCACCACACAATCTACAACTGTAAAATTTTTTCTCATCTCCATGTCACAAAATTTTAGAGATATGTGACAAATGTTATTCTTATTCAAACAAGTCCAAACTCATTTTTGCTGCTAATATGCCTATGTAAACTCAGTGTGAATTGTGAATGTAGTTATTTCCAATTGTTACGTTGCTGCAGGGGTGACCGAGATTCAGAGACGGAATCTGAGGGCAGCAGTCAACAGTCTCAGACAGGAAAAGACTTTGAAATGGTCGACAAAGACGAAGTCAAGGACTCTTAACACAGGTGAGGCATCACCTGCTGCTAGAAACTACACTAAACTTACATCTTAATTTTGGGTGGCACTTACTTTAAAAAATCGAATCCCGAATCTTGAATTTCAAAAGCTAAACGCGTAACTTTTTTACTTAGGTGGTTACAAAGGTCAAGGTTACAAAAAAATACACATACAGTAGAACCTCTTTAATCCGAACCCCTGTAATCTGAACGTCCACTAATCCGAACACCTCATTGGTGTACTCTATACACAGTACAGTATTTCTATATTGTATAGGCTATTTAATGTAGCCTACAGTTCTGTTTATTCAATGTGTTTACTACTTTATTAAATAAACACTGTATTTTATTTTTGTAAAGCATTTTTTAACATTTCCCATAGCAATTACGATCCATTTTAGCCTTGTTTTAGCTATTGTTATGTAAAAACAACAGTATGTTCTGTAATCCGAACTATTCAATAGTCCAAACTACCCCCGGTCCCAATTAGTTCGGATTAAAGAGGTTCTACTGTAATCATAAAATGTTAAGTATGCAATCTAAACTGAAAGAGATTACTCCTGACCGTGACATAATATAAATATGTGAATGTGACTGATAATCTTAAAACCCTAATTAATTAAAACTTCTAACACCAACATAAACATGAATATTAGATTAATTAGAACATTTAGGGGTCAATATTTCTTTGTGTTTAGTAAATATTGATGTGAAACTAAATTGTACCAGTTATAGTATTTAAGATACCTTTTGAAGTTCAGAATCAAATTTACTTGTTTCATTACTGTTAATGGTGATGTTTGCTCTGTTGCTACCAGATTGTTTGGAAACAACATTGAAAACAATAACAATGGCACAAAAAAATGTCAGCAGTTTCAAAAATAAAACTGCCAAAATCGTCAATTTCAAAACTTTTGAATCTCAAAACTTGGAGATCGAATCTCGAAACCGAAACTTTTCCTAAGTTTTGATGGTTTTGAGAATTGAGATTTGGTTTTGACACATCACTAATATCCTTACACAAAGATATACTTGGCTTAGTTATGGTCAAAACCAGAAATTTCTAATCTCAAAACCGGAAACAAAACTTTAAAAAATCGAATCCCGAATCTCGAATCTCAAAACCTAAACGCGAAACTTTTTTACTTAGCTGGCTACAAAGGTCAAGGTTACAAAAAATACACAATCATAAAATGTTAAGTGCAATCATAACTGAAAGAGATCGACTCCTCCTGACCGTGACATAACATAAATACAGTATGTGAATATGACTGATAATCTTAAAACCAAATACTGTACAACAATTTTTTATAAACAACCAACAAAAAAAATTAAACTTTTAACACCAACATAAACATGAATATTAGATTAATTAGAACATTTAGTGGTCAATATTTCATTGTGTTGATGTGAAACTTAATTGTACCAGTTATAGTATTAAAGATACCTTTTGAAGTTCAGAATCAAATTTACTTGTTTCATTACTGTTAATGGTGATGTTTGCTCTGTTGCTACCAGCTTGTTTGTAAACAGTGTTAAAAACAATAACAATAGCACACAAAAATGTCAGCAGTTTCAAAAATAAAACTGCCACAATCTTCAATTTCTAAACTTTTGAATCTCGAAACTTGGTGATCGAATCTCAAAACCGAAACTTTTACTAAGTTTTGATGGTTTTGAGATTTGGTTTTGGCACATCACTAATATCCTTACACAAAGATATACTTGGACTTGGCTACATTTAAATAAGCTTGATGATTCTTGAGGGCACATGGCTATTTATAGCTGTAAATCTTTTTATTTTTATTAAACAGAAAGAGCTTGCACAGATGGACAAACAAGTCAACACTTAAGTTCCATTGTGTTCAGGCCCACTTTTATAAACGGGCAGACTGGGCATATGCCCAGGGGCGCCGGCGGTTGGGGGGCGCCCGAGGGGCGCCCTGAACCACCGCCCGCACTAGGAAAAATAAGGTTTTATCAGCCGGGATTTCAAAAATAAAAAGGGCGATTTCAACTTGTAGTAAGTGATTTTCCCTTATTGCAAAAGTAAATAAATACAACAAAATTGAAAATACTCGACCTTCAGGTTATACCTCGTGTAGTCAGGGAAAGGCAGACAGCAGTGTGAACCGGGCACACTCACTATAATATCAGAGGCAGGGAGGCCTGCATGGTGGAAGGAAAATATACATATGTGTGCTATTACCGTCATATTATTCTGATGTCACTCAGATTGCAAACACCATTTTACCATTGAGAAAAATTATAAAAACAATAAAAATCAAAACAAAACAAATATATACTTATATGGCAATACATCAGCTGATTTTTTGCAAATGACGGGAATAGCACGTAGGCCAGCGGTAGTCTACAGGCCTACGGTTGACGTGCACATCCTATCCCTCCCAGTCCCACCCCCATCCCACAAGTCACGAAAACAAACTCAAGAAGCAGTTTTAAAGAAAGTGAAATGTATTAACCAGTATTTCCACTGATACGGAATTGAAAACTCCCTCCCGAAAAAAAACTGGTAAAAAAAACACGCTAATGTATAAATATATATATATGCATAAGCCTATAGTAGAACCATGGAAAACACATACTCCCTTAGTAGAATCTCGTTCAATACGTGTATAAAGCAATGAACTGCACACTGTACTGTACCGATTACCGAACCGAACAGTAATCAAATCACTGCGTAGTGCATTAAGCTATCGGCGCAGGGCAAGAGGCGTCGCATCGCATAGCAACTACTGTCAAGTTCATTGCACTCACCCCAACCCCCAACCCACCTGCTGTGAATTTCGGCGAACTGATGAGTCAACCCCCCTTCCCTCTTCCCCTCCCTACACTGCTGTGGTCAAAACCTTTATAGTTATACAGAATATATATATATATAAGGGGGGCGCTGCTTTTGGGTTTGCCCAGGGCGCCACTGACCTTTAACGCGGCCCTGATTGTGTTATAGAACAGTTATTTGTCTGCTATCATTAATGAGTTGAATATTTTTTCAGATAGTGGTAGTGAGGGCCCGTGTACAGCCACATATCACCCAGACATCTGCTACACAGAACAAATTCAACTGGGAATCAACTTTGTAAATTTTGTATCGTCACCTGACGTGCATTTTATGTTCATTGACTTCACTGACGCTGATGATATCAGAAATCCTCATTTTATCCTTGATAAAAGACTTAATTATATATTTGCTCAATTTACAGTGTGGCTTTGTTGATGGGAAACGACTTACTTATTTATGATATAAATCTAAAATATAAATATTTTGTTGCTAATTTGTTTCCTGAAAAGTGGTAACTCTAGTTGTCTTGATGTTGTCTTATAATTCTAAATTTTGATTGAACTTTTAAGGAACTAAACCTAAACAATTTCCATTAATGAAATGCTCACTTATAACATCTTAAATTTGCAATAAAAAATTATTCTCTCTTTTAGCATTGATTTTCTTCTTATAGAATAAAAGATTGTATATGTTTATGTATATGCGCTGTAATATGTTTTAAATCAATTAATGTGAGTGTGGTGAGTATTGGAGCTTGAATGTATTTTTGTTGTGTCAAAAAAGTAATATCAATGACCTTTCTAATACATCTAAATATGGTTAAGATCAAAACTAGACGTAAATCATTTTGGAAGCTATATTTTTTAAGATAAAAACAAATTTTCTGGATTAATTAGCTTAAGATATGATACAGTATGATGACCAATCTGTAAACTAAATATTTGTTTAAAGGCATTTGAGGTAAAAAAAAGATGCCAAAACAAGGGAGACATTGTAGCCGACTCAAATTTCCTGCTAGGGGTGTAATGATGAAATAGAACTTGATTTTGATTAAGACACATGCTTTAAAGACGGCTGATAAACATTGAAAGCAAAATAAAATTTGTCGGAAGATGATTAAGCAAATTTAGGCTGAAAACAGAACTTGAGGATTGGAAGGTTAGGCTTAATGCACTAGAAGGGGAAATATATAGATATAAAGGTAATTTAAGATAAATATAAGTGGACATTTTTTGTTAGTTCTTTATAGTATATTACTATAACCAAAACATGTTTGTGCTCTTTCAAAAAAATATAGTTTATTATTTTCTGTCGTTGAGTAAGTTTTGGCTATTGTGTGACGATTTTTACTTTTACAGTTGGATTGGGTTTTTTAGCCAACTTGAATCCAAGCAGCAGTTGTGTTTGGAAATCATAAAAATATTTCTTCATAGGTAAGATAGTATTTAAGTAAAAATTAGTGATTGTGTTATTTGGTGGTTAAAGAGGTTATTTTGTAATTTCTGAAGACAACTTTTTAGCAAAAACTGGATACTTCTAGCTCATGATGACATCAAATGCCTATTCTTACAGGAAATTAACATTTCTTAGCTAATGAATTCATTTGGGGTACCAGCAAATGGGACCATTTGCTAGTTTAGGTAATTTAATTATAAAGTTGATTCCCAGACAGTCCTAGATATTATAAATAAATTGTTGAAAAAAATTAACATAGTATATGTTGCGTCAGTCAAGATATTTTTACAAGTAGCCTTACGATAAGAAGTTTTTTCCAATAAGATCTAGTATTTATTTAAACACTGTGATGCACAAAGGAAACTCTGAGAAAAGGTACATTTATTTATTTATTTATTTTTGAGCAAGTATATGAGATTACTTAAAATAATATCCCAACTTTGTTTAATTTAAACTCTTCTAAGTTCCTGTATTTTATACCAATCTTTTGCAAAACGTTAGGTCACTTCATAAGACAACACTTAGCAGTATGTTATGAAAACTAATTCCTTAGCAGTTTGTAAGAACCACAAACATAAATGCACATTTCTTTTTGCTGAATTCTATACGTAATTACGGCTATTTACTTAGCTGCTAAATTGTTAAATAATAGTTGTAGTTATTTTTCTGATTTTGTCTTTCACTTTGTATCTTTAGAGGATAGCTACAGATATTAATAAGTGTTGTATGTAAAAAAAGTCGGTAAAAGATTAGCTCTAACAAGATTTCAATGTTACAATTAAATTAAGTGTTGATTAAAGGTGAATGTTAAAAATCCATATGCTCTCAAGCAGTAACTTTTGTACATTATAAACAATCGTTGAAATTCCTATTTAATTATGATGCATTTCAAAACAGAATGGAACCGATTGCATTTAATTGTAATTTACAATTTTGTTACCTCCGTTTTACATTTTACTCTTTTCGGTCAGTGTTGACGGTTTCAGTTTTTTACTTTTGTAATTTGAATTTTCCTTATCGAGCTTGTAAAGACGGAAACTGTTTTCATAGCTCTCTGAGTATCAGCTGTGAAGAGTCACATATTTTATATAGTGGATATTGTATTATAGCTGTGTTAATGATTGGTTTATTTATATTTATAAGTGTGTATTAAATGGAGGTGCTGTGAATTCCGCTTGTTTCATTCCTGATGAAATATAGATTGTTTAAATAGTGACCCATACTAGATTTCTTATTTATTGCACCTTTGTTCTTCCATGATCATTCTTGCTCCAGTTTTACTAATGGTACATGAAGCTGAGCGTATGACAGGATATGTTACTTATCCACAATAAAAAGGTTGCCAGTTTGACACTGAGCAGTCAGTGGCATTTCTAATGGTTCAAATCTGGACCCAGCTGTCCATTTGGCGTGTGATTTAAGGTACTAGCCAAATAAGCAGCTGACATTGTTCAATAACAACCAACAAGCTAACGTGTAAAATATGCATGAAGACGGTTCTGGATTCGGAAGAGGGAATTGCATGTGAATCTAACTGTTCTCGCTGGTTTCATCGCATCTGTGTAAATTTATCCAAGAGCGAATACTCTATTTTCTCTAAGGATGCCAACAAAAAATGGTACTGCGGCAGAGTTGATTGCGCATCCCCGAGCAAAGATCCCCTACTTGTCTTAACGACTAGCCTCAATAAATTAATGAACAAGATCGATAGTTGGTCTGATAAGATAGAGAAAATTACTGAAGTGTCTCATGGAATTACCGAAATAAAATCCGACATTGGTCAAATAAAAGAACAAATAGCGAAACTAGAACCACGGGTGTCTGCAAATGAAGCTAAAATCGATAATCTAGTTTCTAAAGTTGATTTGTTAGAGAAAACTCCGTCTAACGACCCCAATACGTTAATCCAAGAAATGAATGATAGATCCCAACGAAGTAAAAACGCTATTCTACACGGGATTCCTGAATCCACAAAAAATGAAATTCAAGCAAAAATTGATCACGACAAGGAATGCATGAACACCCTTCTTGACGCCCTCCAACTAAATAATCTCCGCATCACAAAAGTGATAAGAATCGGTAAGCACGCTGTTGATAAACCTCGCCCAGTTAAACTCTCGTTCGCAGACTCTGAAGAGGCCTTTACTTTCTTCAGACACTTTCATCCTGATAAATGTGCAAATGCCTTTCCTGGACACACCATTGCTATCACTCGAGACCGCACACTAATGGAGCGAACGCATTTAACTGAACTTTTATCAACGCTTGAAGAAAGGAAGAAGGCAGGTGAAAAGGACCTCACCATCAAGTACCACAGTGGCGTTCCCAAGATTGTGAAGCAGTCAAAAAACTAGTTACATCCAACGGGCATCTCAGAGCTTATTATCAGAATGTGAATGGCATGAGGGGTAAATTAGGCAGCAGCAAACTATCCATTTCTATGTGTAATTTTGACATAATAATCTTGACAGAAACAAACCTTTCAGATGATGTCTTCGATGCAGAAATATCTCCCGACAATTTTACTATCTACCGGTGTGATCGATCTCCACTAACCAGTTCTAAGTCCTGCAAAGGAGGTGTTTTAGTTGCCATCAAAGATAATATAGCTTCGACTCGCTTGATATCAAATGTAAAAGAAGTGGAACATCTGCTGGTTAAAATTGAACCTTGTAAAGGCACTAGCTGGCTTCTAGTAGCTTGCTATATACCACCACATCAGCACGTCTCCAAGTACAGCAGCTTTCTTTCCTCAGTTGAAGAAGTCGTGTCCTCCGGCCAGAATTTTACTGATATCATTATTGTCGGTGACTTCAACATTCCAGGCATTAATTGGGACCATCCACTGGACAGAGGCCACACTCCATCATCTGGAGTGGTTCTTACTTTGATGGAACTTTTTTGTCTCAAACAAATTAATCATGTTTTTAATGGAAGAGGCGTCTTATTAGACTTAGTACTCAGCTCTAATATGAACTTCACAGTGTCCTTGGAAAACGATTTTCTTTTAAATGTTGAAGAGAGACACCACCCCCCTATATCCATCATTTTGCCTTACAACTCCTCCACAAAACTAGTGACCTCCAAGAAGAAGCAGTATACACACGACCTTAAAAGATGCCGACTAGATGTTGTCCATAGATCTCTTTCCTCTATAGATTTTTCGTCTGTCTTGAGCACACCTGATCTAAACCAAGCCACTGACGAATTTCTTTCTGTAATTGCTGAGGTTGTCAAGGAAAACTCGCCTTTAAGAAGGGTAGGTTCTTCTCCATTTCCTAGATGGTTCTCCAACGACTTAAAAAATCTAGTGATCACTAAGAAAATCCTTCACAAAAAATATAAGCAACAGCCAACAGCATACAACTACCAATCCTTTGCAAATGCTAGGGCTTCGTGCAAGAGTCTGGCAGTCAGCGAACATAAGAAGTACTTAAGATCAATTGAGCAGGGTATCCCTGGGAATCTCCGTTATTTCTGGAGTCACGTCAACACTTTAAAAAAGTCTTCCACAATACCATCCCGTCTTGTCTACAATAGTTCCATCGCAACTGAAGCTGACGACATGTGCAACCTCTTCAAGAATTTCTTTTCTTCAGTTTTTACAAAGCCTACGGAATCATTTGAAGTGTCAACCTTTGGTCACCTTGGAGACTCCCAAACTTTAAGGTTTAGCCCACGTGAAATCTTTGAGAAACTTGAAAAGCTCGATGACACTTGTAAAGAAAAAAATAAACGTTCTTTACTTACTTATTACTTCAAAATATACTCTTTACATTAATTGATCATTCCATCACTAAAATCGCCTCACACCTTTATGTAATGCAATTTGGCTATTCCATATAGGTGTGAGTACAACAAAAAGTTGCCCCCTGGTGGGGTTTCAATGAATTTAATTTAGTTGATCAGACAACTGAGGACCAATCACAGAGCCGGCAGTGGAAGTAAGATGTTGTATTGAGCCCTGATAATTGTGTATCCCAGAAGTCCGATTTATGGACCGTTGAGAGGTCTGATATGTCCTCCTGAAAGTGCTTTCAATAATCTTAAACGTAACACTTCTTAAGATGCAATAAAAAGTATATCAAATACTCTGAATGCAAAATTACACTCTTTGTTGAAACTTTGTTAAAACATTGGTTTTGACTCTGAAATATTGAAACGATTATGCGAAATATTGATGAACCAATATATAATAAATTATGTGTCAATTGACTACTTAATGATATTGTACTTTATTGCAATTGTTCGGTTAAGCCGATTACCTTGAAAAGATTAACACAGGAGAATTAATAAAATTGATGAAAGAATAAGCTTTGTGTATTATCACTATAAATAATACAAATATTACAAATAATCAATATTAATATTCAAGTTTCTGCTAAAATTAATAATATTCAAGTTTCAGCTATAATTAATAATATTCTAGTTTCTACTAATTACACTTCAATTTAATGTGAGAGAGTATTGATTGTGGTCTTTTTGACTTTCTTTCCTGAAATATTGACAGCAGAGCCTCGGGAACCTAGGTTTAATTTATTCAATCTGTTTTAGGCTATTAGGCTTCCCAAAGTATGGTATTTACTTACAACTGGCCAGTTGATCTTATGTGCAAAGGGGCTATTCGTAGATCTGTGTACAGCACACTTTGTTGCTCAGTAGCAAACTGGACCAAAACGACTACTGAGTCGTTTGTTTAATTTAAGTTAAAAGTATGATTTTTATGGCGTTAATGGAAGCCTACCTTGTAGCCTGTATTGACACCTAACCTTCAACCGGGACAATGCTCTGATTGAAACCTGAATTTGCACCCAATCAAATACTCTCAGTGATCTCTTTATGTATTTTTGAAGTGATTTCAAACCCAAATATTAAAGCAAGAACAAATTGTAACAGATTTACGTGACAGACAGCTGATTACCCTAACAATATAATTTGAATTTAAGCACAAAACTAATATGAAATTTAACTGGTATAAAAATTTACCCAAATTATTAATATAACAATATCTACAAATGTATCACAGTATGTATTTTAAAATAAGTAAATGGCAATAATTCTAAAGCAATGTGACTGAATTTACACACTAAGACCTGAAACCTGCAAAAAACATGATTAAACAAATATGAATGTGGACAGATTGGCTTCTCCTAATGATATAAATACAATTTACACAAAACATTTACTTACATACACAGAAGACAATTTTGACGACACATAAACATATAATTACGACACTGTACTTGGGATAGGCTCTACGAAAATGGTCAAATCTGACGAATTTTGCCGGTCGACGTCGAACTTAAAGACTCGTTTTGTTTCAATTCGTAATTTAGTAAATGCTGTTTCACGGTTTTAGATATCAATGCACTCCGGAGATCGAACAATTGATTCGTTGACGAAATACACGTTACGACTACCAAAAGTGATTTTTGCAAATTGAAAAGGAGAATTTAAAGATTTCCGTACATCGCGGCTCAGAGCTTGGTCCCAAGTGACCGTTAGAAAAGGACGTCCGCACAAGTCAGCAAATTGGTGTTCCTCCGCGCTCACGTGATTGGCCGTTGTTGGTCCTTGCCTTCGCGCGTTTTCAGTTTGATTTGAATTTTCATTTGGTCATTCATTTTGAATCGGTACATGATGCCCCCTTGCCAAAAAAATTGGCCCGAGCGACCACAAGGTCCGCAAGAAGACTTCGTCCAACCCGGGACAATTTTCAAACCGGCGGCGCGACGCGACGCTTGTGACGGCGGAGAGACGTTTACACAACAGTTTCACATTTACACAGTTACAATTTACATACATTTAAACACGAAACAATTTCTTCACATTTACATTTTTTTTTAATAATACTCATATAATAAATATTCAATATTAATATTTTCAAAGTGTGAAAAACATGCTGGGAAAAATTTTATTTTAAAACAATTTTTTTTTCATTTTTTCTTATTTCTATTTTTTTTGCTTAACATTTATTTTCTCTTTTTTTTTTTCCATTTTCCATTTTTTTTTTCATTTCATTTGTTTGCCTTATTTCTATTTGTACTGAGGGCGAGAGCGATTTGAGATGGGAGAGCTGACAATACCTGACACCAAAGTGTCTCACAAATTACCACTTACATCTACTCCACACGAGTGGTGAAAAACGCGCACGCTTAACCACACTGTAGAATTACCTAGCACTCAATGAAGCAGACAGCAGCAGTTCATTCATGG